TGTGTAGCCTACTAGTTAGTACCTTACCCCCTGGTCTGTGTAGCCTACTAGTTAGTACCTTATACCCTGGTCTGTGTCGACCCTTGTTACTGCTTTGCTGTGGTCTGTAGTTATGTTGTTGTCAATGTACTGTGTTTGCTGTAGGCTTGCTGTGCCTTGTTTCACCCTGGTATTATAATTCTACCCTCCTGGCTACCTGTTCTCAAAACGCATTGTTCCATGCTGCGCACCCTTTTGCTGTCCTCCTTGCTGTAGGCTACCTTGTATACCTTTCTCTGCACCCTCACTGTTAGACCTTATAAAAGCTATACCCTCCTGTGTAGTGATCTTTGGACCCTTTCTCTCTAGAACTAGTATCCCTTTGCAACACCCCCTATACCCACTCCCTTTACTCAATGTGCATGTCTCCTTCACTCCATAACCCCAAGTGCATATTTACTGTGTGCCCTATTGATCAAGTCTTTGTCAGGGTGGTTGTTATTCTACACAGTCTGTCAGGATGGTTGTTATTATTCTCAGTCTGGTTGTTATGCTACACAGTCTGTCAGGGTGGTTGTTATTCTACACAGTCTGTCAGGGTGGTTGGTATTCTACACAGTCTGTCAGGGTGGTTGATATTCTACACAGTCTGTCAGGATGGTTGTTATTCTTCGCAGTCTGGTTGTTATGCTACACAGTCTGTCAGGGTGGTTGGTATTCTACACAGTCTGTCAGGGTGGTTGTTATTCTTCTCAGTCTGATTGTTATGCTACACAGTCTGTCAGGGTGGTTGTTATTCTTCGCAGTCTGGTTGTTATGCTACACAGTCTGTCAGGATGGTTGTTATTCTTCGCAGTCTGGTTGTTATGCTACACAGTCTGTCAGGGTGGTTGGTATTCTACACAGTCTGTCAGGGTGGTTGATAATCTACACAATCTGTCAGGGTGGTTGTTATTCTACACAGTGTAGCGCAAGGAGTTCCCTGCATGTAGTTGAAGGGGCAAGCTGTGTTGAGTCACCCACCAGGAGTTGATGTGGATGGTAATTGTAGAACCAGTTAGTTTCTCCAGGGAAATCAGCAAGAGGAGGACTGGAAAGGAGGGAAGAAGAGAGTGAAGGGAGAAAAGAGCAGTCTATGTGGAAGACAGAACAGGGGCCCTTTTCATCATGTGGTCTCAAAGCCGCCCCCACCCATATTCTAAAAGGGCAGCATGTGTGGAGACGGAGAGTCTCTTATTTTCCAATGGAGCAGTCCACAGTCCACTGAGGTGGCCACAGCAGTGCCTGAGAGGGGTCCTAAAGTGTGCCCCGTTCATGGGAACCCATATTAACTATAATGAAGTGTTCACTTACAAAACATTAGGAACACCTGCGCTTTCCATGACATAGACTGACCAGGTGAATCCAGGTGAAAGCTATGATCCCTTATTGATGTCACCTGTTAAATCCACTTCAATCAGTGTAGATGAAGGGAAGGAGACAGGTTAAATAAGGAATTTTAAGACTTGAGACAATTGAGACATGGATTGTGTATGTGTGCCATTCAGAGGGTGAATATGCAATAAAAAATATTTAAGTGCCTTTGAACGGGGTATGGTAGTAGGTGCCAGGCACACCGGTTGGGTGTCATGAACTGCAACACTGCTGGGTTTTTCATGCTCAACAGTTTCTTGTCTGTATCAAGAATAGGAAGGAAGGTGTTCTTAATGTTTTGTACACTGTGTATACACTACAATTATGTGAACGCACCCCATATTGCTATTCATGGGAACCCATGGAAGTGCACTAAATGTTCACTCTAATGATGTGAACACATCCCATGGGCCATGTTGTTCTGCCCTATTTCAATCCATTCCTCCCATTCCTGGCATTCCCAAAGGATTGTGTCGACAACAGCACCCTGGCTCGTTTGGAATACCATGGAATAATCTGGGTTTGCCTTACAAAGCAGAAACACGGCAGACATCATCCACCCCCACAAACCGCCCCCTAATTTTACCCTGCCTCTGGTTTTGACATAAAAACACACCCTGAACTTTCTTATAGCGTGACGTCGCCTGTCACAAAATTCTAGTTCTCCTCAGAGGCCCTGTGGGAAGAATACATGGATGCTATGGTAACAAGTAGTCCCAAATGGCCCTTGGTGGAGTGCGCTTGAAGTACAGTAGTGCAGAGGGAAGAACTTTCAGACTGGGATTTTCCACCCAAAACCTAAGGCGTATTTAGAGGTGAAAAATGCAGCAGGGAGAAACTTTTGACAGGGGGATAGAGAGAGAGTGAGCAGCTAAAAGAGAAGCTAAAGGCTTCACTCACATTTAATTCACCTAAAATCTGACTTTGTAGACAATCAGAGTAGGTGTATTGCGGGGACATTGGTATTGTCTATTGTAAGGACATTTTGTTTTGTCGGGAAATCCCCTTTAATGCAAGGGGCCATTCATTCAAAGTGTCTCTTTCCTAATCAATCTGCTCTGTCCCTACTTTCAAATGTTATTCTTAAAAAATATATATCCTTATTGCTGTCTATGGTTGATAGGAATTTGCTTTATTATGTGCAATATACAGTATCCTCCCTTTAAGTTTGGGCCTTCCCTTTTAAGTGTGGGCCTTCCCTTTTAAGTGTGGACCTTCTTTTTATGTGCAGGCCTTCTTTTTAAGTGTGAGCCTTCCCTCAGTGTGGTCCATCCCTATTGAAGGCCCTCCAGGCAAAGAGAGTGCCAAGCCTTTGTCCCCCCAACAGGACCTGATGTGATGTGATGAGATGTGACCAACATCTACTGTGTCCTAAAAAGTTATAACTGGAATACTGCCAATGGCATGCTAACCTAGCGCTGGTGGTCTCCTTGGGACTTCTGATTCTGTGTGTAGCCCAATGTCCTGGTCTTCCCTTGAAAAATACATGGTCTTCCCTTGAAAAATACACTCCCAAGGGCAAGTACCTGAATAAATAAAGGATAGTTACCACTTGCCAGACATCCATTTTACCTCAGAAATCCCAGAAAGCAAAAATACTCAAAATGAAAAGCCTAGAATCCTGGCAGTAACGTGAGGCTAAAGCTAATAGCTACTGATGCAAAAGCCAAGCTACTGAAACACTAGCCATGATAAAGGACAAGTTCCAAATGGAGATGCAGTAAAACAGCCTTAAAAATGGTCGTCAAATCAGCCATTGTGGGTTAGGCTAACTGTGACATCTTAGAATGCATCACACGCCGCCCGCACACGCTCAGACGAGGTCGGCCACACTGACTGTGACCCCCTTGTTCTGTCCTCAGAATGGTCAACTCCTATTCAGTCTGTCTCTCTCTCTATGCTATTTCTCTCTCACTCTGTCTATCTCTCTTTCGCTCTGTCATGATGTAATTCATGTCCATTTAATGAGTCTGTCAACAGTGTGGTTAGATGGAGGTTTTATCTCTGTGATGGTGTTTCTCTCTCTCACTCCTTCTCTAAATGATTCTTCATCACTCTCTATCTTACCATCTTTCCATCTCCACCAGAACGGATGAGTAATCTCTCTCTTCGGGGTCTGCCGAGTGGCTGCCAGGTTCTTGCCGAGGCCCTGAGCAGCTGTTCCCTAATTACCATGCTGCAACGCACGTGGTCGGCGGCGGCCTCATCGAATCAATGCCCCTCAGTTCAACCTCCCCTCACGCCTCCATCTTAGTATCCAACCAACCACGTGCTCATTTGCGTCCATGATTGGTGTTAATTGTTTCTATATAAAGTGTAAACTCCCCAAAGGGGACCGACGTTATTGCGTTTAATGATTTCCGAAACCGTTTTGTCTCACAATATGGGCACTCACTGAACGCAATAAGGGCTTTCTTGTGTTTTTCTAAATAACGGTTTAGTGTCTGTGTGCGTTGAGGCTGAGTGAGTCTTCTTGGTGTATACGGTCTCTTTTATGCCCAACCAGTGAAAGAGTTTCTTCAGCTAGCTCATCAGTTGTCATGTGAAACAGGAAAATGAGGATGGGAGTGTTTGGCTCAATGAATAATGTACATGTTTGTGTGTTTCTAACCCTTCCCTGCCCAACTGGTGCAGAGGAAGGCTTTTTACCAGCTGCTGAAGCTTCGGGCTTAATTCTCTCTCTTCATCCCTGAGTGACGTGTGGCATGTTTGATAACACTCATCTTCCTCTGCTTCTTCTTTTCATGCCTTTCATTTCATCCTGAATGCTCCCAGGAATGCATTAAAGCTCAGGTACTGTATCTGTTAACAGTGTGGGGTGTGAGCGTGTGTGTCTTTGTCTGTTGGTAGTTTTACCTTTAGATATAGACACTCAGGCAGACCTTTTCATTTGATGGTGTCTGAAATGATTAAGTTGTTTTTCCCATTTACACCTAAAAGGAGAAAATGCATTGTGCTAAAAATACATTTACCTCTAGCTATATTATTGGGGCATGAATTGAAAAGCTATTGTGGTTGTATAGAGACTCACAATGTCACATCTGAAAATGACTCAACTATCCTGAAATGGATAGCAAATATAAATATGTTCAGAGATATAAAGCGGAAATGGAATCTGGTCGTAATCACGTAGCCTACAGTGCAGTGAGCATGATAACCATGATTGCCGTACCTCTTAAGGATTATGAAATGATATAATGAGTGTAATTTAGCTGTTGAAGAAACATCTAATCTCATCCGCTGAACAACGTCATTACTGGGTTTGGAGAACAAACAAAAAAAAAAAAAAAAAACATGGTTTATTGTCACATACAAGCTCCTGATTCAATCCAAACAAATAATTGGGTTTGTGAAGTTCGACAGAAATATTTTTAGAATTTAGAATTTTTGTGTGAACATTGCTGTGTTGATTACATACGTGAACCCAAGTCATGAGTTGAATAGCCTGCAAGACTATTCATTCTTGCAGAACAATACTTTTGTGTTAGCCCTATAAGTTGGCTATTTCTTTAGATTGAGTATCACTCCTTAAATATAGTATCCTCAGAGACTTTATGTATCACATATTCCGATACTCCAATATTCTTATATTCCGATTTGGCGCCAGGATGCTGCTGGTGCCGGACGTTATCGGTTTAGAGACGGTGAAAAATATGAGTACTAGGTGAGCATTCAGTTCAGAGCTGGGCACAAAATGAAAGAGAAGGGTAGAGAGAGGAGTGAGACGAACCTGTCAGACAGACGCGCCTGTGGAAAAGCATGGGTCCTATTTTTAGAGCTGTCTTTTGTGAAGGCCTGTTCTGCTGTGCCTAGGTTCAGCTGCTGCACGGACACAAGAGCCTCAGGTTTAAAGAATTTACACAATATCATAGAGACTGATCCAAGGACTACTGTAATGACCAACCAGGGACTGACTAGGGACACACAGAGACAGATCCAAGGACCACTGTGATGACCGACCAGGGACCGTCCAGGGACACACAGAGACAGATCCAAGGACTACTGTAATGACCGACCAGGGACTGACCAGGGACACACAGAGACAGATCCAAGGACCACTGTGATGACCGACCAGGGACCGTCCAGGGACACACAGAGACAGATCCAAGGACTACTGTAATGACCGACCAGGGACAGATCCAAGGACTACTGTAATGACCGACCAGGGACCGACCAGGGACAGATCCAAGGACTACTGTAATGACCGACCAGGGACACACAGAGACAGATCCATGGACTACTGTAATGACCGACCAGGGGCACAGAGACGGATCCAAGGACTACTGTAATGTCCGACCAGGCACTGACCAGGGGCACAGAGACGGATCCAACCAACCAGGGACAGCACTTTTCTTTTTTCCATCTCTCGTTTCATCTTTCTTTTCTTTTTCGCTGGCTATGTAAGCAAGTTATGACAGATGAATAAGGGGTGGAAGGGGGGCACTTTTTCCTCATGTAATCAGAACAATTTTGAACATTCATAATTCCCATGTTAAGCATGTATAGACTGGTATGTAGCCTACATTTTGTAACTGTAACACTCTAGTGGGGGTCATATCAGGCTGTCTAATCTCTCTCACTGTCTGTCAACATTGGACGATGACATCATGGCTGTCCTGTTGTCCTCTTTCCTGTCAGGGAGACTGGGGGAAGGTTGGGGAAGGTGGAGGAGGCATTGTGCCTGGCTTACCTTAAGATAGTCGGTGACAGTGTTATCAAGTCAAAGTTGGTGACCTTCCATAGTAATCCTTTAACCCGATCTGAAACTGTCTCGGTACTCATCTCCTTACTCAATCTCATGTAGTCGGTCGGTCGGTCATACACAGTCACACAGTCTCACATTTTTAGCAACAAAGGTGAAATGTTTTGTAGCTGGTCTAATGGTGAGGTCTAGTATTTGGTGGTCTTCACCAAGCCCTGTTCTTTTGTAGGGTTAAACACAAGTCACTGTTGGTCTTATTTTATATTTCACAATGCTCATACCCAATTTTACACGTTGCAACGGCCATCAATCATCAATTTTGCAGACTGAGTGTATCTGTTCAAAGTCCAAACACCTCAGTGTGTCCCTGCCACACATCTTAGTAAAGACAGGGGAGTGTACTCCTATCCTTCCGGATGTTTTGCCCCCGCTAACTTGCCCTACATCTTTGGAGGAGTCTTGGACTATTGTTTCAAAAGCCTCTTCCTCTCCTCCCCTCATATCCTAGTGGGCCTCTCCTTTCCGTGTTTGGCTAGGAAATCCTCTCCACTTCCTGCCCAGAAAAGGAAATGCGCCCGCGCCAACACATGCCAACAGCAGCACAATACCCTGACACCTCCTGAACTGGCACAGGTGGCGTGGGAACAGCATTCAGGAAAGAGGCATGAGCCTCTTGTTTTCTCCCACAGGAAGTCAACCCTAGAGGAGCAGACAGTAGCGGTGTATTCATTTATTTTGTATATATATATAAGTCCCGGGCCTGGCCCCTTATTGATATGCACAGTCTGCTATTTAACAAGGCTCAAGACTGTCTCTCATGCATGCTAATTAGGTTAACGTAGCTATGAAGGTAATGTACTGTAGGAATTGCAACGTCAAGATCGATACTGGCAGTGTGGTAGCATCCGTTCTAGACGCTTTTGTTAGTTAGACGGATACTAATCGCTAACCGGTTGTTAGCGAGGTTTTATATTAGTTGTTTGCATAATCAACCTTTTTGCAGAACTAGAGTCAAGCTAAGCCTTAGCTTTAAAGCCAGCAATAATATATATAGTATTGTATGCTATTGGTCTATTTCTTAAGTAGCCAATGTTATTCAGTGATAAGAGCATTTGCATTGCTTAACCTTTGCAATTAGTCACTTTAGTGTTTAACTGGCGGTGTCTGGCGACGTGTCAGTACTGGCTTGTCTCTGTACATACAGTATAAGAGAGTGTCTCTGTGCACATACATGTCTGTGTGCTTTTATCTTTCCTACTGTGGTAATGACCTTTTTATGACCCGAATGCTATGCATCAGTAGGCTAACAGCATCGCATGATCCAAGCCCATAATGCATGGAACATACTTACAGTGAGGGAAAAAAGTATTTGATCCCCTGCTGCTTTTGTACATTTGCCCACTGACAAAGAAATGATCAGTCTATAATTTTAATGGTAAGTTTATTTGAACAGTGAGAGACAGAATAACAACAAAAAAATCCAGAAAAACGCATGTCAAAAATGTTATAAATTGATTTGCATTTTAATGAGGGAAATAAGTATTTGACCCCCTCTCAATCAGAAAGATTTCTTGCTCCCAGGTGTCTTTTATAGAGGTAACGAGCTGAGATTAGGAGCACACTCTTAAAGGGAGTGCTCCTAATCTCAGTTTGTTACCTGTATAAAAGACACCTGTCCACAGAAGCAATCAATCAATCAGATTCCAAACTCTCCACCATGGCCAAGACCAAAGAGCTCTCCAAGGATGTCAGGGACAAGATTGTAGACCTACACAAGGCTGGAATGGGCTACAAGACCATCGCCAAGCAGCTTGGTGAGAAGGTGACAACAGTTGGTGCGATTGTTCGCAAATGGAAGAAACACAAAATAACTGTCAATCTCCCTCGGCCTGGGGCTCCATGCAAGATCTCACCTCGTGGAGTTGCAATGATCATGAGAACGGTGAGGAATCAGCCCAGAACTACACGGGAGGATCTTGTCAATGATCTCAAGGCAGCTGGGACCATAGTCACCAAGAAAACAATTGGTAACACACTACGCCGTGAAGGACTGAAATCCTGCAGCGCCCGCAAGATCCCCCTGCTCAAGAAAGCACATATACAGGGCCATCTAAGTTTGCCAAGGAACATCTGAATGATTCAGAGGAGAACTGGGTGAAATTGTTGTGGTCAGATGAGACCAGAATCAAGCTCTTTGGCATCAACTCGCCGTGTTTGGAGGAGGAGGAATGCTGCCTATGACCCCAAGAACACCATACCCACCGTCAAACATGGAGGTGGAAACATTATGCTTTGGGGGTGTTTTTCTGCTAAGGGGACAGGACAACTTCACCGCATCAAAGGGACGATGGACGGGGCCATGTACCGTCAAATCTTGTGTGAGAACCTCCTTCCCTCAGCCAGGGCATTGAAAATGGGTCGTGGATGGGTATTCCAGCATGACAATGACCCAAAACACACGGCCAAGGCAACAAAGGAGTGGCTCAAGAAGAAGCACATTAAGGTCCAGGAGTGGCCTAGCCAGTCTCCAGACCTTAATCCCATAGAAAATCTGTGGAGGGAGCTGAAGGTTCGAGTTGCCAAACATCAGCCTCGAAACCTTAATGACTTGGAGAAGATCTGCAAAGAGGAGTGGAACAAAATCCCTCCTGAGATGTGTGCAAACCTGGTGGCCAACTACAAGAAACGTCTGACCTCTGTGATTGCAAACAAGGGTTTTGCCACCAAGTACTAAGTCATGTTTTGCAGAGGGGTCAAATACTTATTTCCCTCATTAAAATGCAAATCAATTCATAACATTTTTGACATGCGTTTTTCTGGATTTTTTTGTTGTTATTCTGTCTCTCACTGTTCAAATAAATCTACCATTAAAATTATAGACTGATCGTGTCTTTGTCAGTGGGCAAACGTACAAAATCAGCAGGGGATCAAATACTTTTTTCCCTCACTGTATAGCCATAGTGGTTAGCAGGGAACATTACAAATGGTTGATGTCGAAAGGCTCACCGGCCCCCTCAACTGAATCTGTGACTGCATTAATGTTACGCTCCGTTAGCATTGTCACATCAGTGTCACAATCAACTAAAATCAATGTGCCCCTGCTTTCCTTTGCATTTAGATTGAGATTGTTCAGCAGAATGTCAACCCATAGTCTACGTCCCAAATGGCACCCTATTCCCTACATAGTGCACTAAAAGTAGTAGTGGTCAAAAGTAGCGAGTGCACTATATAGGGGATATGATGTCATTTGGGACAGAGCCATAGTCTCGTTGTCACTGGGAACCATTAAAGTGCACTATATAGGGAATAGGATACTATTAAAGGGAACCATTAAAGGGTGACCTAGAGTGTCTGGCTGTTGTCCCCAGGCTCGACCCCCACTGCGGTGATGCAATGATATAATGACGCCCCGGTGCCCCTGACGATTGTTGCCAACAACGGTAATGACCGAGTCATCAGCACCAGAAGAAAGCACCTGAGCTTGGTGATGCATTACATCATCGCCCGGGGGCTGGAGAGGGTGATGGGATTACTGTCATAGTGGGTCTTCATGTCCTATTGGTTGGCTGAAGGCCAAAAACAAACCCTGCTTTCGAGGCATTCTCTTAACGTAGTAACTATACAGTGTGTAAGTGGCTTGCGAAAGTATTCACCCCCCCCTTGGCATTTTCCTATTTTGTTACCTTACAACCTGGAATTAAGATTGATATTTGGGGGGGTTGTATAATTTGATTTACACAACATGCCTACAACTTTGAAGATGCAAAATATTTTTTATCGGGAAACAAACAAGAAATAAGACCAAAAAAATGAACTTGAGCGTGCATAACTATTCACCCCCCCCAAAGTAAATAATTTGTCGACCCACCTTTTGCAGCAATTGCAGCTGCAAGTCTCTTGGGGTATGTCTCTATAAGCTTGGCACATGTAGCCACTGCGATGTTTGCCCATTCTTCAAGGCAAAACTGCTCCAGCTCCTTCAAGTTGGATGGGTTCCGCTGATGTACAGCAATCTTTAAGTCATACATTTTACATTCACATTTTTACATTTACATTTTTGTCATTTAGCAGACGCTCTTATCCAGAGCGACTTACAGTTAGTGAGTGCATACATTTTTTCATACTGCCCCCCCGTGGGAATCGAACCCACAACCCTGGCGTTGCAAGCGCCATGCTCTACCAACTGAGCTACACGGGACCACAGATTCTCAATTGGATTGAGGTTTGGGCTTTGACTAGGCCATTCCAATACATTTAAATGTAAACCACTCGAGTGTTGCTTTAGCAGTATGCTTAGGGTCATTGTCCTACTGGAAGGTGAACCTCCGTCCCAGTCCCAAATCTTTGGAAGACTGAAACAGGTTTCCCTCAAGAATTTCCCTGTATTTAGCGCCATCCATCATTCCTTCAATTCTGACCAGTTTCCCAGTCCCTGCTGATGAAAAACATCCCCACAGCATGACGCTGCCAGCACCATGCTTCACTGTGGGGATGGTGTTCTCGGGGTGATGAGAGGTGTTGGGTTTGCGCCAGGCATAGCGTTTTCCTTGATGGCCATGAAGCTACATTTTAGTCTCATCTTACCAGAGTACTTTACATATGTTTGGTGAGTCTCCCACATGCCTTTTGGCGAACACCAAACGTGTTTGCTTATTTTATTCTTTAAGCAATGGCTTTTTTTCTGGCATCTCTTCCGTAAAGCCCAGCTCTGTGGAGTGTACGGCTTAAGGTGGTCCTATGTACAGATACTCCAATCTTCGCTGTGGAGCTTTGCAGCTCCTTCAGGGTTATCTTTGGTCTCTTTGTTGCCTCTCTGATTAATGCCCTCCTTGCCTGGTCCGTGAGTTTTGGTTGGTGGCCCTCTCTTGGCAGGTTTGTTGTGGTGCCATATTCTCTCAATTTTTTAATAATGGATTTAATGGTGCTCCGTTGGATGTTCAAAGTTTCTGATATTTTTTTATGATCTGTACTTCTCCACAACTTTGTCCCTGACCTGTTTGGAGAGCTCCTTGGTCTTCATGGTGCTGCTTGCTTGGTGTTGCCCCTTGCTTAGTGGTGTTGCAGACTCTCAATCAGAAATCTTTCTGATTGAGAGGGGGTCAAATACTTATTTCCCTCATTAAAATGCAAATCAATTCATAACATTTTTGACATGCGTTTTTCAGGATTTTTTTGTTATTCTGTTTCTCACTGTTCAAATAAACCTACCATTCAAATTATAGACTGATCATTTGTTTGTCAGCGGGCAAATGTACAAAATCAGCAGGGTATCAAATACTTTTTTCCCTCACTGTATGCAACAAAATAGGAATAACGCCAAGTGGGATGAATACTTTTGCAAGGCACTGTACGTGAACAAATAACCCTTTCAAGAACGACTCAATACACTCAACATGCAAATGTAGCATTTACTATTCTGTTGACCCTGGATTGATCTGCGTCAGAGCCATATATAGACATACTGTATATCTGTCTGTTCTCAATAAATACGCTACCGGTCAAAAATTTTAGACCAACTACTCATTCAAGGGTTTTTCTTTATTTTTACTATTTTCTACATTGCAGAATAGTAGTGAAGACATCAAAACCATAAAATAACACATATGGAATCATGCAGTAACCAAATAAGTGTTAAACAAATCAAAATATATTTTATATTTGAGATTCTTCAAATAGCCACCCTTTGCCTTGATGACAGCTTTGCACACTCTTGGCATTCTCTCAACCAGCTCCATGAGGTAGTCACCTGGAATGCATTTCAATTAACAGGTGTGCCTTCTTAAAAGTTAATTTGTGGAATTTCTTTCCTTAATGCGGTTGAGCCAATCAGTTGTGTTGTGACAAGGTAGGGGGGTATACAGAAGATAGCCCTATTTGGTAAAAGACCAAGTCCATATTGCCATCTACTTTAATGATTTTTTTTATTGGCAAGATTAGCAAACTTATGCATGACTTGCCAGCAACAATTGCTGACGCTACACATCCAAGTATATTTGACAAAAAAAATTATTCCGTAAAGTGAGTGTGGAAGAGGTGAAAATGTTATTGTTGTCTATCAACAATGACAAGCCACCGGGGTCTGACAACTTGGATGGAAAATTACTGAGGATAATAGCGGACGATATTGCCACTCCTATTTGCCATATTTTTTATTTAAGCCTACTAGAATGTGTGTGCCCCCAGGCTTGGAGGGAAGAAAAAGTCAGTCTGCCACCTAAGAATAGTAAAGCCCCCTTCACTGGCTCAAGTAGCCGACCAATTAGCCTCTTACCAACCCTTAGTAAACTATTAGAAAAAATGATGTTTGACCAGATACAGTGCTATTTTACAGTAAACAAATTGACATCAAACTTTCAGCATGCTTATAGAGAAGGACATTCAACAAGCACAGCACTTACACACATGACTGATGATTGGCTGAGAGAAATTGATGATAAAAAGATTGTGGGGGCTGTTTTGTGAGACTTCAGTGCGCCTTTTGACATTGTCGATCATAGTCTGCTGCTGGAAAAACGTATGTGTTATGGCTTTACTCCACCTGCTATATTGTGGATACAGAGTTACCTGTCTAACAGAACACAGAGGGTGTTCTTTAATGGAAGCCTCTCCAGCATAATCCAGGTAGAATAAGGAATTCCCCAGGGCAGCTGTCTAGGCTCATTACTTTTTTTAAATCTTTACTAATGACATGCCACTGGCTTTGAGTAAAGTCAGAGTGTCTATGTATGCGGATGATTCAAAACACTATACATGTCAGCTACTACAGCGACTGAAATGACTGCAACACTTAACAAAGAGTTGCAGTTAGTTTCAGAGTGGGTGGCAAGGAATAAGTTAGTCCTAAATATTTCTAAAACTAAAAGTATTGTATTTGGAACAAATCATTCACTAAACTCCAAACCTCAATTAAATCTTGTAATAAATAATGTGGAGATTGATGTTGAGGTGACTAAACTGCTTGGAGTAACCCTGGATTGTAAACTGTCATGGTCAAAACATATTGATACAACAGTAGCTAATATGGGGAGAAGTCTATCCATAAAAAAGCGCTGCTCTACCTTCTTAACAGCACTATCAACAAGGCAGGTCCTACAGGCTCTAGTTTTATCGCACCTGGACTACTGCTCAGTCGTGTGGTCAGGTGCCACAAAGAGGGACTTAGGATAATAATATGCATGTCAATCTCTCCTGGCTCAAAGTGGAGGAGAGATTGACTTCATCACTGCTTGTGTTTGTGAGAGGTGTTGACATGTTGAAAGCACCGAGCTGTCTGTTTGAACTACTGGCACACAGCTCAGACACGCATGCATACCCCACAAGACATGCCACCAGAGGTCTCTTCACAGTCCCCAAGTCCAGAACAGACTATGGGAGGCGCACAGTACTACATAGAGCCATGCCTACATGGAACTCTATTCCACATCAGGTAACTGATGCAAGCAGTAGAATCAGATTTAAAAAACAGATACAAATACACATTATAGAACAGCGGGGACAGTGAAGCAACACAAACATAGGCACAGACACATGCATACACACACATGATAACATACGCACTATACACACACGTACACATGGATTTTGTGTTGTAGATATGTGGTAGTGGAGTAGGGGCCTGAGGGCACACACTTAGTGTGCTGTGAAATCTGTTATGAATGTATTGTAATGTTTTTTTAAATTTATAACTGCCTTTAATTTTGCTGGACCCTAGGAAGAGTAGATGCTGCCTTGGCTAATGGGAATCCATAATAAATACAAATACAAAGAGAAATGACAGTCCATTACTTTTAGACATGAAGGTCAGTCAATACGGAACATTTCAATAACTTTGAAAGTTTCTTCAAGTGCAGTCGCAAAAACCATCAAGCGCTATGATGAAACTGGCTCTAATGAGGACCACCACACGAATGGAAGACCCAGAGTTACCTCTGCTGCAGACACCAATAATGAGAAGAGACTTGCTTGGGCGAAGAAACACGACCAATGGACATTAGACCGGTGGGAATTTGTCCTTTGGTCTGGAATCCAAATTTGAGATTTTTGGTTCCAACCACCGTGTCTTTGTGAGACGCGGTGTGGGTGAACGGATTATCTCCGCATGTGTATTTCCCACCGTAAAGCATGGAGGAGGAGGTGTTATGGTGTGGGGGTGCTTTGCTGGTGACACTGTCTGTGATTTATTTAGAATTCAAGGCACACTTAACCAGAATGGTTACCACAGCATTCTGCAGCGATACGCCATCCCACCTGGTTTGGGCTTAGTGGGGCTTTTCAACAGGACAATGACCCAACACACCTCCAGGCTGTGTAAGGGCTATTTTACCAAGAAGGAGGGTGATGGAGTGCTGCATCAGATGACCTGGCCTCCACAATCCCCCGACCTCAACCAAATTGAGATGGTTTGGGATGAGTCGGACTGCAGAGTGAAGGAAAAGCAGCCAACAAGTGCTCAGCATATGTGGGAACTCCTTCAAGACTGTTGGAAAAGCATTCCAGGTGAAGCTGGTTTAGAGAATGCCAAGAGTGTGCAAAGCTGTCATCAAGGCAAAGGGTGGAATATAAAATATATTTATTTTTTTGGTTACTACATGATTCCATATGTGTTATTTCATAGTTTTGATGTCTTCACTATTATTCTACAGTGTAGAAAATAGTAAAAATAAAGAAAAACCCTTGAATGAGTAGGTGTTCTAAAACTTTTCACTGGTAGTGTAGTTTTGATCAGAATTTGTTTTCCTATCCAACCCTGCAATAACAGGAACCACCATAGATCACTTTGCCACACCACATCCAAAGCTAATGGAAGGAAATCTGATGTTGAAGAAAGGCAGCACCGGTGGCAACACATATTTTGTTTGTGTAAGAAAGCTCTTTGTTTTTAACTGTCATTGTAGGAACACTGCTGGGTTTTCCTATTTGCCCGTTGGGGCTTTGATTCTTATCTGAATTGGCAGTTTATTGTTGTGCAATTTGAAAATAATATCAGCTCCGCTCCAATCCTATTCCCTATATAGTGTTCTACATTTGACCAAGGACCATACGGACTATGTAGGGAATACATACATTTGGGATGCAGCCTTGGATTGCCCTTTAAGCCATTGTTTGCTGTGCCTTTTCTCATTTAAAGCACTGTTCTTCTCATATCTCAGTGTCAGTCACCAAGCCTGGCCCACTGACCTCAGATCTGACTGGGGCTTTTTGTGTTTCCAATAACCAGATCAAATCGCAGTGTCAGTCACCAAGCCTGTTCCGCTGGCCTCATATCTGACTGGGCCTTTTTGTGTTTCCAATAACCAGAAGCCTTCCTAGGGGTATGGGCGTTCCCTGTACACACACACTTATACACACCATGCACGTATTGTATGTACATGCATAAAGTATACACGCACACACCAGGCACACCGCACATGTGTGTGGTCATTTGATGGCTCTATCAGTCCTGTCTGTAATGTGATATCACAGTCCTGTCTGCAATGTGATGGGGGGGGGGGGGGGGGAGTCTGTGACCAGACTGCTACTGTCTCTGACACAAATGTGTGGCCCCCTCTCTCTCTCGCTCTCACTCACTCCCTCGCTCTCACACTCTCCCTAAATCTTGTCGTGTCCCTATGCTTCTGTCGCCACAGCAACCAACAAACGCGTCGTGGGGGCAGGTCATGCTCAGTCGCCGTGGTTACTATACTCCAACGGTGACAGCAGTGACATCATTGTTATACTGATTCAAATTGTTATACTGATTTAAAGCCATTCAAAGCAACACCGTTTGTCTCCAAATCCATATTCCTCTTTCGTTTTATTACCTGCTGTCTGAGTAAGTTATCAGGCCCTCCTTTCCTCTCCGCTCTCTCTCTCTCTGCCCAGGAAATGGCTTTCCCTGATTCCGTTGCCATGCCAACTGGCTGCAGCCGTGGTCGACTGCTGAAGTGAGAGTGATAATGACATTACTCTTTCTGTTCTCTTCCCCCTCTCTCTCTCTCCTCCTCTCTTCTCTCTCCCCTCTCTCCTCTAATAATAATAATAATAACATGCCATTTAGCAGACGCTTTTATCCAAAGCGACTTACAGTCGTGCGCATACATTTTTACCTATGGGTGGTCCCGGGCATCGAACCCACTACTTTGGCATTACAAGTGCCATGCTCTACCAACTGAGCTACAGAGGACCACCTCTCTCCCCTCTCTCCTCCCCCCTCTCTCTCCCTCTCCTCTCTCCTCTCTCCTCTCTCCCTCTCTCTCTCTCTCCTCCCTCTCTCCTTCTCTCCATCGATTCCTTTTGATTTCTGTGTTTTGCTCTCCTTTGCATCCTCTATCTTTCCTGCCTATTTTCTCTGTGTAGCTATCTGTTTATCTGTTTCTAGGTATCCTATTCATCCTCATTCCTCTCTCTCCCTCAGTCCCTCTCCTTTTCTCTCTTTCTCTATCCCTCTCTCCTTCTCGTTTTAAGCTGTGTAGAGTGTGTGTGTGTGTGTGTGTGTGTGTGTGTGTGTGTGTGTGTGTGTGTGTGTGTATAGAACAGCAGGCACCAGCGGCTGCTCTCTCAGCCTCAGTGAGGAAGGGAGGTCCCTATTCAAGCCACCCCTTCACCCCTCCCAAATACACACACTGACACATACACGTCCCCCTGCTTTGGTCGACAAATGAACCAGGAGTAGTGTTAACAAAGCATCGTGGAGGCTGTGGGTCATACGTCTCAGACTAATCTAATGGTGCGTAAAGCCTAGTGAGCGAGTCGGTGCGTGCGCGTGAGCGTGAGTGTGTGTGTGTATAGCCAGCCTACCATCGACAGCGAGAGAGAACAGAGCAGAGAGGGGAGGAAGAAAAGGAGAGGTAGGATGAGGGAGTGAACGTGAGTGAAAGTGCTGTCAGCCATTTTAGCCAGATTATTATTATTTTTTCTGCTTTATTATCCACACACCGGAGCTCATTGGAGGAGGAATCTACCTAGTTGGCATCAGCATAAAAGAACGAAGGCATGACCAGCATCCTCTTGGGTAGTCAGATCTTTCACCCTCTTTCTTTTTTTGCATCCTTGCGTTGGCAGAGCATAGCGGGGGCTGTGCAGGCTGGCCTGTCCTCTCGCTGCTACAGGGCTGCTGGTGTCAGCTTCAGCGGATACTCCCTGAGCATCACCCCCTCTCTTCCCAGAGAGCGAGACAGCCGAGAGGGGTGGAGGAGGAAGATGGGGGTGAGGCGCGCTGCAGTATAGAGAGCTGGATAAAGGATGTTACATTTTAGCCCGGCGTATATTGTATCATTATGAAACCATTAGCAGCAGCAGCCAGCCATGGAGTCCCGAGCCAGCAAGATAAAAACCCAGTAAGTATCGACGTGCGCATTTATTTTGCTCTATGACCCACTCTCTGGATATGATTATCTACCCTATAATGGCTGCGCATCGGGTTTCTCTCGAGCCGCGCCGAGATGAATGAATATGCAGGGCCCAGCCCACTATAACCCAGCGCCCACTATAGGTGTGTTGTGACGTGCGGGTTGATGGGCTGCTGTCCATGGTGCTTGTAGTGACAGCCAGAATAGAGATATTTGCAGGCTACTGAGCGATCTGCACTTGAGCTGTAGGTGAATCTGTAGGTGAATTGATCGGCTGTCAGCAACCGCTGGCATCACTCAACCCTCCGAGGCATCCTGCTTAGCTGTAAATCACAGAGATAGAACGGATTGGGGAGGGTAAGTTACATCTATCTAGCACACAGATTTAGCCTTCTATCTCTCTCTCCCCTTTCTTTCTATCTCCGATTATCTCCTCCTCAGCAAGCAAGAAGTAGGCTAGTTTGTAATATTAATATAATGCAAATATTAATTAGCGAAACAGTGGGAGACAACAAACATAAGAGAGTATCATATTTCTGGTGTAGTGACATCATGCCCATGACTAATATGCGGAAATTGCATGTCTATTTAGTGAGAGTAGGTGGTTGTCATAGTAACATGGCTATTATGAGTTAGTGCATCAATTTGCTTCTCTCTGTCTCTCTCTCTCTCTCTCTCTCTCTCTCTCTCTCTCTGTCTCTCTCTACCGCTCTGTCTCTATCTCTCTTTCTCTGTCTCTCTCTGTCTCTCTCTCTCTCTCACTCTGTGTCTCTCTCTGTGTCTCTCTCTGTGTCTCTCTCTCGCTCTGTCTCTCTCTATCTTTCGCTCTGTCTCTCTCTCTGTGTAAGTCGCTCTGGATAAGAGCGTCTGCTAAATGACGTAAATGTAATATACACTCAACAAAAATATAAATGCTATATGAAAAGTGTTGGTCCCATGTTTCATGAGCTGAAATAAAAGATCCCAGAAATATTTCCATACACACAAAAAGCTTATTTCTCTCAAATGTTGTGCACAAATTTGTTTACATCCCTGTAAGTGAGCGTTTCTCCTTTGCCAAGATAATCCATCCACCTGACAGGTGTGGCATATCAAGAAGCTGATTGAACAGCATTATCATTATGCATGTGCACCTTGTGCTGGGGACAATTTAAAGGCCACTCTAAAATGTGCAGTTTTGTCACACAACAATATGCCACAGATGTATCAAGTGTTGAGGGAGCCATTTGGCATGCTCACTGCAGGAATGCTCACTGCATTTCTCTACTGTAAGCCGCCTCCAACGTCGTTTTAGAGAATTTGGCAGTACGGCCAACCGGCCTCACAACCGCTGACCAACGTGTATGGCGTCGTGTGGCGTTGATTTTTGCACTCAGCATTCTTGGCAAATAGGACAGTAACTTTGTGCCCCAGTTTATAGGTATCATTGATTTTATTTTCATGAAATTAAAGAATACAATAACATTGCCCCTTATTCTATAGTGCCACTGAATATCAATGATGTCCAACAGATTTTTCAATACAGATTGCTGTTGTAGTTAATGTGAACCAATTCAGTGTCCAGTCATATATAAGACAATAATATGTCCACTTAATTCATAGTGCCAAGGAATGTCTTTGTTTGTTTAATGCTGACTTCAATTGTATAAGATCTTCATTATTGTAACACCATTCATCGTCCACTAATAAGGTCTCTCTACTCTGCTGAAGGGGGTTCAGAGGGGTTGTGGCCAGATGAGGGGCTTGACCAGCCTGAGGGGCTTTTGGCCAGATGAGGGGCTCGTCCAGCCTGAGGGGCTTGTGGCCTGGTCCTGGCTCTAGCCCCCCTGGTGAACCATTTGGTTCTGTGCACTGTGCCGGTTAATGAAATGTGACGGCCATCTTTGATACACTGTAATGACATCACATTCACAATGGTATTGGGGTGTGAATGTATTGTGGGTGTGGGCTACACACACACTTGCATGTATACACTCAGACACACACACACAAATGCATACGTGTGTGTGTGTGTGTGTGTGTGTGTGTGCGCACACCACAGTATTTGGTTTGATTGAGAAGACCAATTTAGGCTGTTTTGGCTTTCCATGTGTTGAATAACGTGTCACTGTTTGGAAGTGCTACACCAACTTCTTAAATTCCTTGACCTAGTGTGCTCTCTACTACTACTCCTAATAGGCCTAAACAACAATTCTGTGGCGGTTCCTGTTAAAACATTTAAATATCTACTGTAAGTGGTGAATATTGAGGAGTGATTTAGTAACCAGAAACATTCTCCATAGAGTATGGAGAATTTGGAAGTGTTCATTCCAGGAGCAGAACAGAGTCGTCACTTTTCCTACCTTAAAAAGCTGTGACTTGAGTCATTACATCCAATGTTAATACCTCTCTCTACCTCTCCACATGGAGTCTGAGATTTACTATGAACACGAATCAGGGGACATGTCGAGTCAAACCGATTTAGTTTCAAATGAACCTCCAAATGTATTCCACATCCAATCTATTCCATTTGTGAACCATGTGAGACCTCCAGAATTGCTCTTACTGAAGATGTTTTCATAATCCATCAGCAACATAGTGGTTATTTAAATTCCCCACGGACAGATATTATTATAATGATTAAATTACATGCTTGTTGCCATTGGTACTAAAGTCTTATCAAGGTTTTAGCTCAACGGGCTAACACAATCTTGTGATATGCTGGAGACCCGGGTTTGAACCCCAGTCGGTCACATCAGCAAGCAAGACCCTGTACCCAACTACCCCTGCTGCTTGGCCTATGGTTACCCAACTACCCCTGCTGCTTGGCCTATGGTTACCCAACTACCCCTGCTGCTTGGCCTATGGTTAACCAACTACCCCTGCTGCTTGGCCTATGGTTACCCAACTACCCCTGCTACTTGGCTTAGGGCTACCCAACTACCCCTGCTACTTGGCCTATGTTTACCCAACTACACCTGCTGCTTGGCCTATGGTTACCCAACTACCCCTGCTACTTGGCCTATGGTTACCCAACTATCCTTGCTACTTGGCCTATGGTTACCCAACTACCCCTGCTGCTTGGCCTATGGTTACCCATCTATCCCTGCTACTTGGCCTATGGTTACCCAACTATCCCTGCTACTTGGCCAATTGTTACCCAACTACCCCTGCTGCTTGGCCTGTGGTTACCCAACTACCCCTGGTGATTGGCCTATGGTTACCCAACTACCCCTGCTACTTGGCCTATGGTTACCCAACTACCCCTTCTACTTAGCCTATGGTTACCCAACTGACCCTTGCTGCTTGGCCTATTGTTACCCAACTACCCCTGCTGCTTGGCCTATGTTTACCCAACTATCCCTGCTACTTGGCCTATGGTTACCCAACTGACCCTTGCTGCTTGGCCTATTGTTACCCAACTACCCCTGCTACTTGGCCTATGGTTACCCAACTGACCCTTGCTGCTTGGCCTGTGGTTACCCAACTGCCCCTGCTGCTTAGCCTGTGGTTACCCAACTACCCCTGCTGCATGGCCTGTGGCTACCCAACTACCCATGCTACTTGGCCTATGCCTACCCAACTACCCCTGCTACTTGGCTTGGGGCTACCCAACTACCCCTGCTACTTGGCCTATGGCTACCCAACTGCCCCTGCTACTTGGTTTAGGGCTACCCGACTACCCCTGCTGCTTGGCCAATGGCTACCCAACTACCCCTGCACCTTGGCCTATGGTTACCCAACTACCCCTGCTGCTTGGCCTATGGTTACCCAACTGCCCCTGCTGCTTGGCCTATGGTTACCCAACTACCCCTGCTGCTTGGCCTATGGTTACCCAACTATCCCTGCTGCTTGGCCTATGGTTACCCAACTACCCCTGCTGCTTGGCCTATGGTTACCCAACTGCCCCTGCTACTTGGCCTATGGTTACCCAACTACCCCTGCTGCTTGGCCTATGGTTACCCAACTACCCCTGCTACTTGGCCTATGGCTACCTTCCAAACACGAGGCGCTCAGTAAATATTGACAGGAAACAGAACGGCAAAGTTTGCCAACCAACCGCTGCACTTTCAAATTGAATTGATCTTGGTTGTAAGCACTTATAAGCGTCGGGTAATTGACTCTATTACAGAAGGGCTTAAAATGTTGAGCTACGTTTTAAAATACATTATTATTTTCATGTTAAATAAATACATCTTGTTTTCACACTAAACTCTTTAAATGTTCCCCACGGACACCATAAAAGTGGGAAATGTAATTAACAGCTGCTCGTTTGGTTATTAATTATTTGGAAGTAGTTTAGCGATCATTTAATATTTGTTCACGTATGTTCTATTAAGACGGCTATGTAATCACAGGAGAATGAGATGGCTTAAGGCCTTTTTTAATTTAAATTAAATTAATGTAGAGGGACATCAAATGAACTGAAGAAGATTAATAAATTACATCTTGAATCAAGAATCACTCTGGGAACTCAGAACTCAACCACTGTCAAATCGCAGTGAATTCAGCTACAAAATAATTTATACATTTTCACATGGGAACTCGTTCCCCTAACTCCACCTCCGCCCTGGCCTACACAGAGGCAAATGGCTACACATACCATGCAAACATCTAGGCATCTCTAATATAGACATTACACTAATTTGGTTGCAGTGTTATGGTCAGGGCTAAACAAGTGTTGCACCCACCATGTAGCCAAGTGCCTTTTAAACGCCTGACAGCCATGCGTGGGTGGTGTGAGTGGGTTGAGACTGGTGAAACTGACCAACTGTCTGTTTGTGTGTGGCGTGTGTGTGTGTGTGTGTGCAGCTCCCCGCAGACTTCAGCCGACTCCACCTGTCCGACGGCTTGCACCCACAGGTGACCCACGTGTCTTCCAGCCACTCAGGATGTAGTATCACCAGCGACTCTGGAAGCAGCAGCCTGTCAGACATATACCAGGTAAGCGCAGGCCCCGTCCCCACAACGTCCCCCATAACGCACCCCCAACGTCCTCTAAATGCCCATGGAGAAGCCCCCCCACTCTGGAAGTAGCAGCTTACCAGGTAAGCAGGCCTCTCCCAAATGTCCCCATAACCTCCCAACAATGTCCCAGCAACATACCCCCCAACCCCCTTTAAACGCCAATATAACAGAACATACCCCCCCCCCCCCCCCCCCCCCCCCCCCCCATCTTGTGACTGTAGTCGGGCTCCATAGCCAATCACACCTAATCCTCTTACCACACGCAGGCACCCCATTGGCTCCTGACCTCGTAACCTGCTGTCTGTGTATCTGTGAGTGCAGTGTGTGTTAGTGAGGGTGTGTGTGTGCGCATTAGTCGGTGTCAGTTTGTTGCCGTTTGTGTGTCGTGCACACGCACAATCTGTGTAGAGTACATAGTGTGTGTGCGCGCGTGCGCGTATATACATGTGGAGGGGAGGGGACAGGTTGTGAACAAGCTCTACTGTGCCCAGGCCCTGATCCAGTCTTAGGACCATCTGCTAGGTCCTCATTAACAGGTCTGCTGTAGCGTCTCCATTAAATCCCTCATCTTCTCTCTCTCTCTCTCTCTCTCCACATTCTCTCTCTCTCCACATTCTCTCTCTCCACATTCTCTCTCTCTCAATAACCCCTTTCCTTCGCCAGTCCTTCTGTCTCTTTATGATCTATCTGTCCATAGCCTCATCTCTCTCTCCCTCCCCACTTCTATTCAGTCTTACTCTCTCACTAATGGAGATGACCCAGACCCACCATCACTTCTTCTGAGAATGTTAGATTTGCCATCTTCAAAGCTTAGAGAAAATGGCTGAACCAGTAGTAGTTCAGGACAAGCATGTGTGGGTTTACATCTGTCATCGGGGCTGAAGCATAGAGTGAAGGAGGGGTTGGTACAATGGAAAAACATGTAAAAACACAGGAACTTGTAGTCAGTGAATATCAATGGACTCAATCGGATATCTTAGCAGCCGGAGAACTGTATTTGTTGCGCCAGCCTCTCTAGGATGATAACTCAGTGATAAGGACAACATCATATATATTTGACAATATTAAGGACAACCCAAATCACAGGACTGTATGTGTAAGATCTATTCAAAGATGGATGTCTACCAGGGTAAAGCTCTTGGCGATGATGCCCCTTGTTCGTCAGAGTCCTCCACGAGCCATGTCGGCTGGAGTGCCCCATTTGTCTCTCCCCCCAGAGAGAGGAATAGAGCTGCATCCTCTCTGTCACTGCCTGGCAAACATGGCAGACTGTTTTGCCTCTGAATAAATCATGAAATTGGTTCTTCAGAATGAGGCTTGAAAGCATTGATCCAAGAATAGCCCTGTTGAAATATTAACGACCCACCCCCCCCCCACCCCTTTCTTTTTTTGCTCACCACACTTTATGGATCTCACACAAACACACATACAGAGGGGTTCTGACTTGCTCTGTATTTCGAGATAACATTTGACGTTTTTATCGGTTCAGAATTCCCACTGGACTGTAACATTGTGTAACACAGTGGAAATTATGTCCGAATCAAATCCGAAGGTGTTTTAACCTCCCGTGGCACACACTTCTAAATTAAGATCGGCACACTATTTATGAATATTTAGTATATTATAAGCCTTATTCATAAATCTAGGTGGGTGGCTAATATGGAATTGACGTACAGAAATATTGAATAAAGGAATGCTTCCGTGAGAGGACTAGCCTACATCCTATTGTAGATAAGTAATAGGGTCAATGAGGATGTCCAGTGACTTACATCTCTGCTATTTTAGGACATTTGACATTTTTCTGGTTTCCTCCTGAGATTTGGAGCATGCCAACAATGTTTGTTCGTGTGGAATATTGCTGTGTTTTCTACCGGGTTTCGGCATCGGTAGACATTGACTTTCACATCAAGGTTGAGCTGAAGACAGATGGCTGTTTTCTCTGTTTTCACTGCTGCCAAAATTTCTAGACGAATTCAAGACAGTTTTCTAGCATTTTCCATCTCACCAGCTCAGTTACTCCCTGTCGCATAGGGAACCGACATACCTCGATCTTCAGATTTTCTGCTGTTTCACTCCACAAGTCCACACCTTACCAACCCCTTTGCTCTCTCTCGCCCTATCAGGCCCCTCCCCTGCCCCTCCCACTTTGCTGACCTCCTGATGCCTGAGTGGCTAGTCAGACAGCACCCTGAATCATTAATGAGACATTTGCACATGGTGGTTAAGGAGAAATGACATAGGGCTACGTTCGGTGAGAGACAGGGACTCTTTGAATCTCAGAAAAATTTAAACACACTGGCGGTAAAGATGCGTCTTGGACTAGGCTGCTGCAGGCAGTTTGCGAAGGCAACGTTGTTTTCGTATCTCTCAGTGAAAAGGCAGGAGTTTAGGCACCTTATTCAGGTAAGAGGGGTCGGTTAACGCTCAACACATCTGGGCCAGGAGGGTTTTCATCTCCCTGTGTTTCGTGCCTGGTTTTCGTTCCGAGCATGAAACGCACAACAGGGCCTCTCAGCGATATTTATAGCATGTGAGAAGCCTTGATGAATGCACAGCGCCAAGCTCTCTATTAAAATGAGTGTGACATTGTCAATTGCGCATCACTCTTTCAGGGAGAGAGAGAGGGAGGGAGGGAGGGAGGGAGGGAGGGAGGGAGGGAGGGAGGGAGAGGGAGAGAGGGAGAACCACAGCTAGAGAGAGAGAGAGAGAGAGAGAACCACAGCTAGAGAGAGAGAGAGAGAGATTTGATTCTTGTCGCTTTTGAAGAATTGAAACAGGTTCTGCTTCTTGCCTTTGTTTTGTTTGCCAGCCCTTATGTGAAGTTTTTGCACCAAAACCCTGATTTAGATTTACCAACCTCACCTCAGCCCACCAGTGTGCCGCTGTTACTACTTGGAGTAGATGGATAGAGCTGACATGCTTAGTATGGACCAGTGACCGTTTTCCTGCACTCATATTACTAAAACTAAGATTGATGGTGGTTGTTATGATAGAAAAAGCTGTTGTGTTTTTGTTGATCCTGGATGACTTGATCCATAATGACTGACCTACATCCATCTTTTCCTCTGACCCCCAGGCCACGGAAAACGAGCCGGGTGACATGGACCTCAGCGGCCTGCCTGAGACCGCCGTCGACTCAGAGGAGGACGATGACGAGGAGGACATTGAGCGAGCGTCGGACCCCCTCATGAGCCGCGACATCGTGCGGGACTGCCTGGAGAAGGACCCCATGGACCGCACTGATGACGACATAGGTGAGTCCCTGCTAGCACACAGAATGTTCCCCTAACATTCCTTAAAGGTTCCTCTGATTGATTTGAAAAGTAACTTTCTCACAATGTTCTGGGAACCAAAATGTATTTAGCTGGGGCATGCCAGTGTTTCCCCTCCCTCCCCTGCTTTGCTATGTTGCTTCCTGGCTCCTATTACACAGAAGGGGACAACTGTTCCACACCAACATTGAACCCTTACACTAAATCTACAAACAACTGTTATTATCCCTATTCCATTGTGTCTGATTACAGTACTACTGCTAAAATACCTTGTAAGTGCTTGCTATTTTCTGGCAAGACATTTGGAAAAGCAATGGGAGACAATTAGATTTGGCTTTGTTCACAAAGGGAAATCCTACTCTGAATCCCCATTGTAGGCTCGTCAGAGTTTAATCAAGCATTCATGATTTTAATCAAACAATCCACAGCGACGCCCCCTCTCCCAGTGTCCGCCCTTAGTGCATCACAACAGCGAATTATGTGTCCATCTGCAGTCGTTTGTGCTTCACTGCTTTCATTGGGTGAATTTATTTTAGCCCTCAGTTCTATTCTTTCTGTGCCACACGAAGCCTGTGATATCATAGGCCTGTTAGCAGCAATACAGCTACAGTGATAGTGACCAAAAAGCTTAGCTGTAGATGTGATGTGTGGATGATATAGTGGATACAAATGAAGAAAAAGAGAGTGAGAAAAAGAGAGAGAGTACCCCAGTCTGTCTCTCCTTCCCTCGACGAAGCCCACAATCTCCCCCGCCGCCCCTCCCAATCCTGCTCCCTCTGCCGACAGGCTTTTCTAGGTCAACGCTGCACATCCTCGCCTCTCCTCTCCCGGCGCATTAAAGTTTCAGTGCTTCCGCAGGCTTCCCACACGACACTGTTGCCATGCCAAGCACAGGTCAGCCCGCACCCCAGACTTGCTTTAGGCGACTAGCACAGGGATGGAGTCCTTCCCTGGCTCCCGCAGCCAGCTATTTCAAGGAGCCAAAGAAAATGCATTGGGAAGGAATTAGGACAGGCAATGCCCTATACAGCCAAGCTGAAAGCCCCAAATGAGGTTTGATTAAGGTTGCCACACTGTAGAAGTCAATGCAAAAGTTTGCTTTTCCTTTTTTGCTCATGCAGTTTTCTTTCTGTCTATGAAAATTAAATTGATAGTTTGCCTTAGTGTGCTTCAGATAATCATCCAATTGTTGTGTACTCATCATTTGTGGGGTTGAATTTAATGCACTTTCTCTCGCACTAGCTGTGGCCTTTATTCGTCCAAAGCCACACAGAGGGTGAAGGACTGCCAAGTCCTCCTATGCTCGTCCTCTCTCTCCTCTGTGTGTCAAGACCTCCCTAACCTCCTCTCCCTCTCTACTCCCCCTCTCCAACCTTTCCACAGAGCAATTGCTGGAGTTCATGCATCAGCTGCCAGCGTTTGCCAACATGACCATGTCTGTGAGGAGGGAGCTGTGTGCCGTCATGGTGTTTGCCGTGGTCGAGCGGGCCGGCACCATTGTACTCAATGACGGGGAAGAGGTGTGTGTGTGTGTGGGGAGGGGTGTGTGTGTCGTGAATATGTCTGTCTTAAAGGAAAACTCCACCCTAAAACTATCTTTTGGTATTTATTTCTTTAGTCCATTGTTGATATAGTCCCAAAATGTTTTGCATGTCAGCAATCAAGTTATCAAGATATATCACTTTTATATACAGAAATACAGCCGAACATAACGGCTGTATTTCTGTAATTTGAAAGTTTAAATATCTTGAGAACTTGATTGCTAACACGTAAAACTTTTTGGGACTATATCAACAATGGACTAAAGAAATAAATACCAAAAGATGGCAGTCAATCGACAAAATTAGTCACAATTGTCTCTTATGTCAGTCTTGTGTGTGTCCTGAATGTGTCTGGGTTTGCACATCTCAAATCAAATTAATTTTTTATTTTGTCACATGCGCCGAATACAACAGGTGTAGGTAGACCTTACCGTGAAAAGCTTACTTGTCCTGGGACATGCAGTTTGCCCTTGCCATTACCAATGAAGGTTCCTCTTCTTCCATGTAATGTTTTTTTCTGCTCTATTTAACACGATAGACTGCCATTTCCCAGCGTCTCGGGATCATAATTCATCAAGGGGACCAGAAGAGAGATCACTTGTACTGTCTCTACAGTCTGGACAGGCTCTGGCTTTTGAATTAAGCCATTTTGGTCATTTTTTCGCTGTGGCGCACCCAAACAATAGAGTGCAGAGCCATACCCTTAAGGCCAGTTCACTTCGATGGCAGTCCAGTCAATGTGAAATAACATCCTATTGAGCTGGTGTGTGTTAGTAATATGTCCACTATTGCCTCAGTGCATTGTCAGATGTGTTGTTGATGATGCTAGAAGGGAGAAATCGATCCCTTGCTATAAAATCTGATTTGCTATCATTTACTACCATAATAAAAGGGGAAAAGCTTACAGTTATTATTATTATAGTGTTAAAACAGGGGTATTATATACTATTGAACCATTTGTGACCAATGATTAAAGATATCACCTGTTAAAGAATGCGATGCTCATCAATTTGATTCCCTGCCAAAAAATTGTGATAAAACATCAATCCAAGCACCATTCAGATGGCTAACTAATGGCAAATGGCTAATTGTGATTAAAAATGTGTTTAAAGGATCATTGCGGTCTTCTTTTTCCTTTAACATTGATCCTAGCCTGATATTAAACCAGGGATGGGCAACTCCAGTCCTCGGGGGCCTGATTGGTGTCACACTTTTGCCCCAGCCCCAGCTAACACACCTGACTCCATAATCAACTAATCATGATCTTCACTTTAGAATGCATCAGCTGTTTGCGCTCAGGATGGGGAAAAGGTGTGACACCACTCCGGCCCCCAAGGACTGCAGTTACCTATCCCTGGATTAAACCATTGATGTCCACTGAATGATCACTGAGTATTTCTGACCGTTAACTGTTTGTGGTTGTGGTCTTGCCCCACTCAGCTGGACTCGTGGTCAGTGATCCTGAACGGCTCAGTGGAGGTGACGCACCTTGAGGGCAGGCCTGAGATCCTGTGTATGGGCAACAGCTTCGGGGTCTCCCCCACCATAGAGAAGGAGTACATGAAGGGAGTGATGAAGACTAAGATGGACGACTGTCAGGTAAGGCCAAGCACTGAGACTGGCTATTATGATGGACTATCGGTTGATTGGCCCGTCAAACGGGCCTTCTCTCCGATGTATTGAATGGTGTTATATACTCCACCCCTGTTACTTACTCAATTAGTCTGTTGCATTTTAAAGCAGGCTTGAATTCAGTATCTACACTGAACAAAAATATAAACGAACAATTTCAAATATTTTACTGAGTTACAGTACATAAAGGAAATCAGTCAATTGAAATAAATGAATTAGGCCCTAATCTATGGATTTCACATGAGTGGGAATACAGATATGCATATTTTGGTCACAGACACCTTAAAAAAAAGATAGGGGTGTGGATCAGAAAACCAGTCAGTATCTGGTGTGACCATATGCCTCATGCAGCGCGACACATCTCCTTTGTATAGAGTTGATCAGGCTGTTGATTGTGGCTGGTAGAATGTTGTCCCACTCCTCTTCAATGGATGTGCCAAGTTGGTGGATGTTGGCGGGAACTGGAACACGCTGTTGTACACGTCGATCCAAAGCATCCCAAACATGCTCAATGGGTGACATGTCAGTGTCACCCTACATACTGTAGGCCATGGAAGAACTGGGACATTTTCAACTTCTAGGAATTGTGTACAGATCCTTGCGACATGGGGCTGTGCATTATCATGCTGAAACATGAGGTGATGGTGGCAGATGAATGGCACGACAATGGGCCTCCAGGATCTCGTCACGATATGTCTGTGGATTCAAATTGCCATCGATAAAATGCTATTGTGTTCGTTGTCCGTAGCTTATGCCTGCCCATACCATAACCCCACCGCCACCATGGGGCACACTCTTCGCAACGTTGACATCAGCAAACCACTTGCCCACACGATGCCATACACAGTCTGCCATCTGCCCAGTACAGTTTAAACCGGGATTCATCTGTGAAGAGCACACTTCACCAGAGTGCCAGTGGCCATCGAAAGTTAACATTTGCCCACTGAAGTCTGTTACGACGCCGAACTGCAGTCAGGTCAAGACCCTGGTGAGGACAACGAGCATGCAGACGAGCTTCCCTGAGACGGTTTCTGACAGTTTGTGCAGAAATTCTTCGGTTGTGCAAAACCAAAGTTTTATCAGCTGTCCAGGTGGCTGGTCTCAGACAGTCCCGCAGGTGAAGGAGCTGGATGTGGAGGTCCTGGGCTGGCGTGGTTACATGTGGTCTGCGGTTGTGAGGTCGGTTGGATGCACTGCCAAATTCTATAAAACGAAGTTGGAGGCTGCTTATGGTAGCGAAATTAACATCAAATTCTCTGGCAACAGCTCTGGTGGACATGCCTGTAGTCAGCATGCCAATTGTACGCTGCCTCCAAAACTTGAGACATCTGTGGCATTGTGTTGTGTGACAAAACTGCACATTTTAGTGGCCTTTTATTGACCCCAGCACAAGGTGTACCTGTGTAATGATCATGCTGTTTAATCAGCTTCTTGATATGCCACAAAGGAGAAATGCTCACTAACAGGGATGTAAATAAGTTTTGCACAAAATTGGAGAGAAATAAGCTTTTTGTGCGTTTGGAAAATTTCACTTTACATGTTGCATTTATATTTTTGTTCAGTATAGTTCGAATTTTCAAAACACTGGGGTTAATTCACTAAGAGATAGTGTATTTATTTCAGTGGTATCATAAAATAGATTTGCTCAAAATTCGTCTCAGCCATGTTGGTCTAAAAAGCAGTGTGTCCCCAAGCTAACTACTCCTCTAACTTTTTATCTTTCTCTCTCTTTCACTTCTTCCTCTTTCTTTCATTTTCTCCTCTCTCTTTCTCCCTCTCTCCCTCCCTACGCCTCTGCTCCAGTTTGTGTGCATAGCGCAGCAGGACTACTGCTGCATCCTCAACCAGGTGGAGAAGAACATGCAGAAGGTGGAGGAGGAGGGCGAGATCGTCATGGTCAAGGAGCACCGTGAGCTGGACCGCACCGGCACCCGGAAGGGACACATCGTCATCAAGGTGAGTTCATTCGTTATTGAGTAAGCATTTAGGTTCCAAACCACATCTTCCTAAGGTATAAATACCTTCTAAAGGTGTCATGACATATTAGGGGTTATGAATGCCTACAGTGGGGGAAAAAAGTATTTAGTCAGCCACCAATTGTGCAAGTTCTCCCACTTAAAAAGATGAGAGAGGCCTGTAATTTTCATCATAGGTACACGTCAACTATGACAGACAAATTGAGAAAAAAAAATCACATTGTAGGATTTTTTATGAATTTATTTGCAAATTATGGTGGAAAATAAGTATTTGGTCACCTACAAACAAGCAAGATTTCTGCCTCTCACAGACCTGTAACTTATTCTTTAAGAGGCTCCTCTGTCCTCCACTCGTTACCTGTATTAATGGCACCTGTTTGAACTTGTTGTCAGTATAAAAGACACCTGTCCACAACCTCAAACAGTCACACTCCAAACTCCACTATGGCCAAGACCAAAGAGCTGTCAAAGGACACCAGAAACAAAATTGTAGACCTGCACCAGGCTGGGAAGACTGAATCTGCAATAGGTAAGCAGCTTGGTTTGAAGAAATCAACTGTGGGAGCAATTATTAGGAAATGGAAGACATACAAGACCACTGATAATCTCCCTCGATCTGGGGCTCCACGCAAGATCTCACCCCGTGGGGTCAAAATGATCACAAGAACGGTGAGCAAAAATCCCAGAACCACACGGGGGGACCTAGTGAATGACCTGCAGAGAGCTGGGACCAAAGTAACAAAGCCTACCATCAGTAACACACTACGCCGCCAGGGACTCAAATCCTGCAGCGCAAGACGTGTCCCCCTGCTTAAGCCAGTACATGTCCAGGCCCGTCTGAAGTTTGCTAGAGTGCATTTGGATGATCCAGAAGAGGATTGGGAGAATGTCATATGGTCAGATGAAACCAAAATATAACTTTTTGGTAAAAACTCAACTCGTCGTGTTTGGAGGACAAAGAATGCTGAGTTGCATCCAAAGAACACCATACCTACTGTGAAGCATGGGGGTGGAAACATCATGCTTTGGGGCTGTTTTTCTGCAAAGGGACCAGGACGACTGATCCGTGTAAAGGAAAGAATGAATGGGGCCATGTATCATGAGATTTTGAGTGAAAACCTCCTTTCATCAGCAAGGGCATTGAAGATGAAACGTGGCTGGGTCTTTCAGCATGACAATGATCCCAAACACACCGCCCGGGCAACGAAGGAGTGGCTTCGTAAGAAGCATTTCAAGGTCCTGGAGTCTCCAGATTTCAACCCCATAGAAAATCTTTGGAGGGAGTTGAAAGTCTGTGTTGCCCAGCGACAGCCCCAAAACATCACTGCTCTAGAGGAGATCTGCATGGAGGAATGGGCCAAAATACCAGCAACAGTGTGTGAAAACCTTGTGAAGACTTACAGAAAACGTTTGACCTGTATCATTGCCAACAAAGGGTATATAACAAAGTATTGAGAAACTTTTGTTATTGACCAAATACTTATTTTCCACCATAATTTTGCAAATAAATTCATTAAAAATCCTACAATGTGATTTTCTGGATTTTTTTTCTCTCATTTTGTCTGTCATAGTTGACATGTACCTATGATGAAAATTACAGGCCTCTCTCATCTTTTTAAGTGGAAGAACTTGCACAATTGGTGGCTGACTAAATACTTTTTTTCCCCACTGTATGTATATGACGTTTAGTGTTACCTAAAGGATTATACACCATCTTCTATAGGGCACGACGGAGCGTCTGACCATGCACCTGGTAGAGGAGCACTCTGTGGTGGACCCCACCTACATTGAGGACTTCCTGCTGACCTACAGGACTTTCCTCTCCAGCCCCATGGTCGTGGGCAACAAGCTCCTCGAGTGGTTCCACGACCCAAGCCTCAGGGACAAGGTCAGCTCCCAGTTCAAGCACTTTACTATCCATTTCAGATAAGTATTTCAGTCATTGTATTGTAATGGAAGCTAGACAGTACCCAACATCAGTTATAGCTAAAGCATAGATAATACCACATAGATCACAGATGCATACATGCTTACATACACTCAGATTAATGTATGCAGATTAATACACACACACACACACACACACAAATAACTACGTGTGAGGAAATGCATTTAACTAGCTAACATTCATTCCAAGCCCATGCTCACCCACTTATTTTTTACTGTGAGTGAATCTGAATGACTTTCTTCTTGCATCCCCAGGTTACACGGGTAGTCTTGCTGTGGGTGAACAATCACTTCAATGACTTTGAAGGCGACCCCGCAATGACTCACTTTCTTGAAGAGTTTGAGAACAATCTGGAGAGAGAGGTCCGTGTCTCAGTTAAGCATAGCATGTTTCATATCCAGTTCCAACATTACAGCATGTTTCAAATCCAGTTCCAACATTACAGCATGTTTCAAATCCAGTTCCAACATTACAGCATGTTTCAAATCCAGTTCCAACATTACAGCATGTTTCATATCCAGTTCCAACATTACAGCATGTTTCATATCCAGTTCCAACATTACAGCATGTTTCATATCCAGTTCCAACATTACAGCATGTTTCATATCCAGTTCCAACATTACAGCATGTTTCATATCCAGTTACAACATTACAGCATGTTTCATATCCAGTTCCAACATTACAGCATGTTTCATATCCAGTTCCAACATTACAGCATGTTTCAAATCCAGTTCCAACATTACAGCATGTTTCATATCCAGTTCCAACATTACAGCATGTTTCATATCCAGTTCCAACATTACTCTTCCTTTGCCCTCATTATATATTCAGTCAAAACATTCAAACTGTCAAAATGTTTGCCTTTCGCTAGCCTCTTATTTCACAATTTAAAATGCTAAAGATTATTACATTTTTTTGCATTTTAATTTTATTCCACATAGTAACAAAGTTGAGATACAAACAATGAACCCAAACCCTGAATTGAGCAATGTACCGGTACTAAACATAATCAATTTCCTTTACAGAAAATGTACGGCCACCTTAGACTGTTAAACATTGCCTGCGCTGCTAAAGCCAAACTGCGTCTGGTGACTCTGACCAAGCCGTCGAGGGAGGCCCCGCTAGCCTTCACCCTGCTGGGGGGCTCCGAGAAGGGCTTCCGCATCTTCATCGACAGCGTGGAGCCCGGGAGCAAGGCTGCAGAGGCCGGCCTCAAACGAGGAGACCAGGTGAAGTAACGAGAATTATATTCTTTATATAGCATTATTTCATATGTTCAAAATGCATTACATAGAAGGGATGGGAAACGTCCCTCATCCACTAGCACTGTATGTGTAGCACCCACCTGATTGATGCCAGGGCGCTGTTTAGTGTGAGAAAGCTCACCACACATCAGACCTATCACAGTGTGCTTATTCACTAGACTAGTTTGCTCACTAGTGATTTTTCACACTTTGCCCCAAGGGTTCCAAAGATCCTTGGTTAAATCCAGGATGCCATCTTGAAAACCCTGCTTGGCTGTGCTTTGTTTTGGCTGAAACTTAACTCTTTCCTGCAGCTGCTTCCCAAAGGAAATGTGAATTATAACATCCTGCAAAGCATGTTTACTCTTGCAATTCTCCTGTCAAACCTTCTCATTGAGTGGCTCTAAAATACCCTTATCAATCTCTCTCCCCTTTTCATCAGCCCATTAACAAGACCTATTTTGCCGAACCTATGACCAGTGTTTCTTTAATAAGTGCTGGCCCAGAAACAGCCATTAGACCTGGTTTGCTCCATCAGCACTGTGGTAATGACTGCAGAGGAAGGCCCCTCACTCACAGAGGGATCACCAGTCACTTCCTGGTTCATTCAGAGGTCACATCCTGGTTTACCCAGAGGGCACTTCTTGGTTCACTAAGAGGAAAGGAGGAAAACTCAGTGGCAGGCTCATATGTAAACAAGAAGTCCTTCCCCTCTCATGACAATTCAGCAGTTGTCATAAGGCAGATAACAGGAAATAGAGACCAGTAGTGTTAAGGAGATGGGAAGGGGGGATGGAGACCAGTAATGTAGAGGTTAGGGAGATGAGAAGACAAGGGGGGGATGGAGACCAGTAATGTAGAGGTTAGGGCGATGGGAAGAGAAGGGGGGATGGAGACCATTAATGAATAGGTTAGGGAGATATGAAGAGATGGGGGATGGAGACCAGTAATGTAGAGGTTAGGGAGATGAGAAGAGAAGGGGGGGTGGAGACCAGTAATGTAGAGGTTAGGGAGATGGGAAGAGAAGGGGGGATGGAGACCATTAATGTAGAGGTTAGGGAGATGGGAAGAGAGGGGGGATGGAGACCAGTAATGTAGAGGTTAGGGAGATGAGAAGAGAAGGGGGGATGGAGACCAGTAATGTAGAGGTTAGGGAGATGGGAAGAGAAGGGGGGATGGAGACCAGTAATGTAGAGGTTAGGGAGATGGGAAGAGAAGGGGGGGTGGAGACCAGTAATGTAGAGGTTAGGGAGATGGGAAGAGAAGGGGGGATGGAGACCATTAATGTAGAGGTTAGGGAGATGAGAAGAGAAGGGGGGAGGGAGACCAGTAATGTAGATGTTAGGGAGATGAGAAGAGAAGGGGGGAGGGAGACCATTAATGTAGAGGTTAGGGAGATGGGAAGAGAAGGGGGATGGAGACCAGTAGGGGGGATGGAGACCATTAATGTAGAGGTTAGGGAGATGGGAAGAGAAGGGGGATAGAGACCAGTAATGTAGAGGTTAGGGAGATGGGAAGAGAAAGGGGGGATGGAGACCAGTAATGTAGAGGTTAGGGAGATGGGAAGAGAAGGGGGGATGGAGACCATTAATGTAGAGGTTAGGGAGATGAGAAGAGAAGGGGGGAGGGAGACCAGTAATGTAGATGTTAGGGAGATGGGAAGGGGGGATAGAGACCAGTAATGTAGAGGTTAGGGAGATGGGAAGGGGGGATGGAGACCAGTAATGTAGAGGTTAGGGAGATGAGAAGGGGGGATGGAGACCAGTAATGGAGAGGTTAGGGAGATGAGAAGGGGGGATGGAGACCAGTAATGGAGAGGTTAGGGAGATGAGAAGGGGGGATGGAGACCAGTAATGTAGAGGTTAGGGAGATGAGAAGGGGGGATGGAGACCAGTAATGGAGAGGTTAGGGAGATGGGAAGAGAAGGGGGGGTGGAGACCATTAATGTAGAGGTTAGGTAGATGGGAAGAGAAGGGGGGGTGGAGACCAGTAATGTAGAGGTTAGGTAGATGGGAAGAGAGGGGGGATGGAGACCATTAATGTAGAGCTTAGGGAGAGGTTAGGTAGATCGGAAGAGAAGGGGGGATGGTATGAGTGTCATGTCATACAGTAGTTCACATGGCCTAGTAGGTTGGAGTTTGGTGCTTACATCACCAGAGTTGTGGATTTGACTCCTGCATGAATTAACAGGATTGAGGATATGGATGATACTTTATGTAATGTTGTGGTATCTTTGTTTGTCTTTGAACAGATTCTGGAGGTGAACGGGCAGAACTTTGAGAATGTCCAGCTCACCAAAGCCAATGAGATCCTGAGGAACAACACCCACTTGTCAATTTCTGTGAAAACCAATCTTTTAGGTAAGAGTTATGAGGGCTAACTATGAATTTAATACTAATAGACAAATATAAGTAACAGTAACACTATCATGTTCCACACAGTATTTGTATTTATTAGGGATCCCCATTAGTTCCTGCCAAGGGATCAGCTACTCTTCCTGGGGTCCAAACACATTAAGACACTTACATTGCACATAAAACAAAATATAAAACAGTACATATAACATTATTACACCACTACATATCTACAATACGAAATGTATAATACCACCATACAACAATATTACAATGTACAGTTGTGGTCAAAAGTTTTGAGAATGACACAAGTATTGGTCTTCACAAAGTTTGCTGCCTCAGTGTTTTTAGATATTTTTGTCAGATGTTACTATGGTATACTGAAGTATAATTACAAGCATTCCATAAGTGTCAAAGGCTTGTATTTTTTAAGTCTTTTTCAAGACCTCTGCAATCCGCCCTGGCATGCTGTCAATTAACTTCTGGGCCACATCCTGACTGATGGCAGCCCATTCTTGCATAATCAATGCTTGGAGTTTGTCAGAATTTGTGGGTTTTTGTTTGTCCACCTGCCTCTTGAGGATTGACCACAAGTTCTCAATGGGATTAAGGTCTCGGGAGTTTCCTGGCCATGGACCCAAAATTTCGATGTTTTGTTCCCCGAGCCACTTAGTTATCACTTTTGCCTTATGGTAAGGTGCTCCATCTTGCTGGAAAAGGCATTGTTCGTCACCAAACTGTTCTTGGATGGTTGGGAGAAGTTTCTCTCGGAGGATGTGTTGGTACCATTCTTTATTCATGGGTGTGTTCTTAGGCAAAATTGTGAGTGAGCCCACTCCCTTGGCTGAGAAGCAACCCCACACATGAATGGTCTCAGGATGCTTTACTGTTGGCATGACACAGGACTGATGGTAGCGCTCACCTTGTCTTCTCTGGATAAGCTTTTTTCCAGATGCCCCAAACAATCGGAAAGGGGATTCATCAGAGAAAATGACTTTACCCCAGTCCTTTTTGCAAAATATCAGTCTGTCCCTGATGTTTTTCCTGGAGATAAGTGGCTTCCTCACTGCCCTTCTTGACAACAGGCCATCCTCCAAAAGTATTCGCCTCACTGTGCGTGCAGATGCACTCACACCTGCCTGCTGCCATTCCTGAGCAAGCTCTGCACTGGTGGTGCCCCGATCCCGCAGCTGAATCAACTTTAGGAGACGGTCCTGGCGCTTGCTGGACTTTCTTGGACGCCCTGAAGCCTTCTTCACAACAATTGAACCTCTCTCCTTGAAGTTGTTGATGATCCGATAAATTGTTGATTTAGGTGCAATCTTACCAGCAGCAATATCCTTGCCTGTGAAGCCCTTTTTGTGCAAAGCAATGATGACGGCACGTGTTTCCTTGCAGGTAACCATGGTTAAAAGAGGAAAACAATGATTTCAAGCACCACCCTCCTTTTAATGCTTCCAGTCTGTTATTCTAACTCAATCAGCATGACAGAGTGATCTCCAGCCTAGTCCTCGACAACACTCTCACCTGTGTTAACGAGAGAATCACTGACATGATGTCAGCTAGTCCTTTTGTGGCAGGGCTGAAATGCAGTGGAAATGTTTTTTGGGGATTAAGTTCATTTTCATGTCAAAGTGGGGCTTTGCAATTAATTGCAATTCATCTGATCACTCTTCATAACATTCTGGAGTATATGCAAATTGCCATCATAAAAACTGAGGCAGCAGACTTTGTGAAAATTAATATTTGTGTCATTCTCAAAACTTTTGACCACGGCTGTACGTGTGTGTAGAGTGCGTGTGCTAGCGTTTGTGTGTGTGTGTCTGTACCTGTGTGTGTGTCTCTTCACAGTCCCCGCTGTTCCATAAGTTGTTTTTATCTGTTTTTTAAATCTGTGATTCTACTGCTTGCATCAGTTACCTGATGTGGAATAGAGTTCCATGTAGCCATGGCTCTATGTAGTACTGTGCGCCTCCCATAGTCTGTTCTGGACTTGGGGGTTGTTAAGAGACCTCTGGTGGCATGTCTTGTGGGGTATGAATGGGTGTCCTATGTGCTAGTAGTTTAAACAGACAGCTCGGTGCATTCAGCTTGTCAACTCTTCTTACTAAAACAAGTAGTGATGAAGTCAATCTCTCCTCCACTTTGAGCCAGGAGAGATTGACATGCATATCATTGTTAGCTCCCCGTGTACATTTAAAGGCCAGCCATGCTGCCCTGTTCTGATACAATTGTAATTTTCCTAAGTCCCTCTTCGCGGCACCTGACCACACGACTGAACAGTAGTCCAGGTGCTTCTAAACTAGGGCCTGTAGGACCTGCCTTGTTGACAGTGTTGTTAAGAAGGCAGAGCAGCACTTTATTATGGACAGACTTTTCCCAATTTTTAGCTACTGTTGTAATTAAGAAATACTAATGCGTCCCCCCCCCCCCTTTTCATCCACCCAGTGTTCAAGGAGCTCCTAGCACGGCCAGAGCACGACCAAGAGGCAGAAGGTGAGGAGCTGCCAGAGGTGGACCGCAAGAATGGCGCCCCGGCACACCTGCCCAAGATCGGGGACATCAAGAAGGGCTCGCGCTACTCCATCCCTGACCTGGCAGTGGATGTTGAGCAGGTGATGTAGTATAATGGACTACCGTGCCCATAATGCTTTGTGTATGTTATCAGGGACGTATTCATTAGGCACCAAACAGAAGAAAACAGACTGAAGCAGGAAGGGACTACCTGACATTGTCCAATCAGAAATGCTTGTTTTAATTTTCTGTTGCAAAACATTTTGTTGTGGTGTGCCCTAATGAAAATGTCCCTGTTTTTATCTTAGTAAAGACGTTCCTAACGCCTAACCTAATGGTGTCCCGTCTCCTTCTCAATGCAGGTGATGGGCCTGGAGAAGGCCAGTAAGAAGGCCAAGGCCAACACGGTGGGAGGAAGGAACAAGCTCAAGAAGATCTTTGACAAGACACTCACCAGCATCCTGCCCCCAAAACCATACAAGTAAGAGAAGCCAGAGACCAAGGGAAAAGGTTGCTTCAAAGTTAGAGGAGGGGAGTGTGGAATAAATGGGTTTGACTTATTACTGTTTTCTGTGTTGTATTGATAATGCATTGAGCAGTGTAACCTCCTCTTATGAAGATGTATTGAGCAGTGTAACCTCCTCTTATGAAGATGTATTGAGCAGTGTAACCTCTTATGAAGATGTATTGAGCAGTGTAACCTCCTCTTATGAAGATGTATTGAGCAGTGTAACCTCCTCTTATGAAGATGTATTAAGCAGTGTAACCTCCTCTTATGAAGATATATTGAGCAGTGTAACCTCCTCTTATGAAGATGTATTGAGCAGTGTAACCTCCTCTTATGAAGATGTATTGAGCAGTGTAACCTCCTCTTATGAAGATGTATTGAGCAGTGTAACCTCCTCTTATGAAGATGTATTGAGCAGTGTAACCTCTTATGAAGATGTATTGAGCAGTGTAACCTCCTCTTATGAAGATGTATTGAGCAGTGTAACCTCCTCTTATGAAGATGTATTGAGCAGTGTAACCTCTATTACTGATATACGTTACATCGTCCTCTATCCTCTGAAAGTGGAACTGCTTCCAACCCCTCTCTCCCTCTGTGTTTCCGTAGTGACGTGGGTGTAGGCCAGTCGCAGGACGACAGCATCGTGGGCCTGAAGCAGTCCAAACAGATTCCGGCCGCGCTGCCAGTCAGCGGCAGCCTGTCGTCCAGCAACCCTGACCTGCTGCAGTCCCACCGCATCCTGGACTTCAACAACCAGCCTGGTGAGGACAAAGATAATAATAATAATATAATAATAATAATAAGAGAGACACACTACTCTTTGAATCTTTAATATACAACTGTATATTACAAACCATACATTACACATCTATAAGCACCACTTGGCTGTCTTCAGCATTCTTGAAGCAGTCTATTTTCATACATCGTTAACCGGGGACATTCTTTGCCAGATGTTTGACACACCCTTTAATGTTCTCCCACACACACACACACACTTCCTTCAGCCCCTGTCGTGACAAGTGAGTATCTGTCTGCTTTTGCTCTGCCCATGCAACGCTTGTCGTCTTTGCAAGCGAACTGCTGTTTCTTTCACAAGCTTCCTATGGTGTTTCTAAATCTGGGGTCTTGAGGGTTAACTTTTTCTAACTGTGGTTATGGTCTGGGCTTGTTGGTCTTGTTAACAGCAGACTGCAAATCAGTGTGTTTTAATCGGTTACATAGGCCTGAATCTAACTGGGCTGTAGAAAGCACAATCATGTCCTTGCCAATGCTGTCAGTCAGCCCCTCTGTCATTCAGTGTTCTAGTCAGCTAAATGAGTTACACAAACATATCATTGAGCATGTCAGCTTGGCTTCTAGCAGACATCAGTTGTTGTCCTTTTGTTGAAACGTTTGGAGTACAGTTTGAAACTAATCAATCCTGTAAACTTTTGACAGAGGGTGAGCAGCTAGCATTGACCCATTCATTCTCATATTGGTGTGTTTTCACTCGTGATTGGGGTGGTATGGTGAATTCAATACGTTTCTTGTGGAGATGCCATGATTTTGTAACCTTGGGTAAAAAAAGCAATGGTACTTGAATGATGTGACTGTCCATGACGAAATTGCTAAATTCTGACATGAGATAATTGTGTGGGTAATTCCTATTTAATTAAGTTATCTCCATATCCAAAATGAAGATTCCGCTCCTAATGTTTGTCCAATGTTGTGTTGACGTTGTACCTCTATCCTCCCCCATCCAGACATGTCAGACCAGGTGCTGCGGGTGTTCAAGGCAGACCAGCAGAGTCGATACATCATGATCGGTAAGGACACCACGGCCAAAGAGGTGGTGGCCCAGGCCATCCGGGAGTTCGCCCTGACCGCAGCGCCCGAAGCCTATTCGCTGTGTGAGGTGTCCATCACGCCGGAGGGTGTCATCAAGCAACGCCGGCTCCCGGAGCAGCTGTCCAAGCTGGCTGACAGGATACAGCTCAGTGGCAGGTAAGGACTGGATTTATTGATTACATTTTTATACAGGTTAGTCCCATCTCTTTTTCAAGAGATAGCAAACACTCTCAAGTCCCCCTCTCCTCTTGTGCTGACGTTCTCCTGACCATTCCTATATTAATCAAATCACATTTTATTTGTCATATGCACTGAATACAACAGTGAAATGCTTACTTACACAAGCCCTTAACCAACAATGCAGTTTTAAGAAAAATAAGTGTTAAGTAAACAATAGATAAGTAAAAAATAAAAGCAGTAGAATAACAGTAAAAATAACAGTAGCGATGCTATATTCAGGGGGTACCGGTACAGAGTCAATGTGCGGGGGCACCGGTTAGTCGAGGTAATTGAGGTAATATGTACATGTAGGTATAGTTAAAGTGACTATGCATATGTAATAAACAGAGAGTAGCAGCAGCGTAAAAGAGGGGGTGGGTTGGGGGGACAATGCAAATAGTCCGGGTAGCCATTTGATTAGCTTATGGCTTGGGGGTAGTTTTATGGCTTGGGGGTAGAAGCTGTTAAGAAGCCTTTTGGACCTAGACGTGGCGCTCCTGTACCGCTTGCCGTGCGGTAGCAGAGAGAAAAGTCTATGACTAGGGTGGCTGGAATCTTTGACAATTTTTAGGGCCTTCCTCTGACACCGCCTGGTATAGAGGTCCAGGATGGCAGGAAGCTTGGCCCCAGTGATGTACTGGGCCGTATGCACTACCCTCTGTAGTGCCTTGCGGTCGGAGGCCGAGCAGTTGCCATACCAGGCAGTGATGCAACCAGTCAGGATGCTCTCGATGGTGCAGCTGTATAACTTTTTGAGGATCTGAGGACCTATGCCAAATCTTTTCAGTCTCCTGAGGGGGAAAAGGCTTTGTCGTGCCCTCTTCACGACTGTCTTGGTGTGTTTGACCATGATAGTTTGTTGGTGATGTGTACACCAAGGAACTTGAAGCTCTCAACCTGCTCCACTACAGCTTGATGAGAATGGGGGCGTGCTCGGTCCTGCTTTTCCTGTAGTCCACAATCATCTCCTTTGTCTTGATCACGTTGAGGGAGAGGTTGTTATCCTGGCACCACACGGCCAGGTCTCTGACCTCCTCCCTATAGGCTGTCTCATCGTTGTCGGTGATCAGGCCTACCACTGTTGTGTCGTCTGCAAACTTAATGATGGTGTTGGAGTCGTGCCTGGCCATGCAGTCATGGGTGAACAGGGAGTACAGGAGGGGACTGAGCACGCAACCCTGAGGGGCCCCCGTGTTGAGGATCAGCGTGGCAGATGTGTTGTTACCTACCCTTACCAACTGGCGTTGGCCCGTCAGGAAGTCCAGGATCCAGTTGCAGAGGGAGGTGTTTAGTCCCAGGGTCTATAGCATAGTGATGAGCTTTGAGGGCACTATGGTGTTGAACGCTGAGCTGTAGTCAATGAATAGCATTCTCACATACAATGAGGGGAAAAAAGTATTTGATCCCCTGCTGATTTTGTACGTTTGCCCACTGACAAAGACATGATCAGACTATAATTTTAATGGTAGGTTTATTTGAACAGTGAGAGACAGAATAACAACAAAAAAATCCAGAAAAACGCATGTCAAAAATGTTATAAATTGATTTGCATTTTAATGAGGGAAATAGGTATTTGACCCCTCTGCAAAACATGACTTAGTACTTGGTGGCAAAACCCTTGTTGGCAATCACAGAGGTCAGATGTTTCTTGTAGTTGGCCACCAGGTTTGCGCACAACTCAGGAGGGATTTTGTCCCACTCCTCTTTGCAGATCTTCTCCAAGTCATTAAGGTTTCGAGCCTGACGTTTGGCAACTCGAACCTTCAGCTCCCTCCACAGATGTTCTATGGGATTAAGGTCTGGAGACTGGCTAGGCCACTCCAGGACCTTAATGTGCTTCTTCTTGAGCCACTCCTTTGTTGCCTTGGCCGTGTGTTTTGTGTCATTGTCATGCTGGAATACCCATCCACTACCCATTTTCAATGCCCCGGCTGAGGGAAGGAGGTTCTCACCCAAGATTTGACGGTACATGGCCCCGTCCATCGTCCCTTTGATGCAGTGAAGTTGTCCTGTCCCCTTAGCAGAAAAACACCCCCAAAGCATAATGTTTCCACCTCCATGTTTGACAGTGGGGATGGTGTTCTTGGGGTCATAGGCAGCATTCCTCCTCCTTCAAACACGTTGAGTTGAGACCAAAATCGAGCTCTTTGGCATCATCTGACCACAACACTTTCACCCAGTTCTCCTCTGAATCATTCAGATGTTCATTGGCAAACTTCAGACGGGCCTGTATATGTGCTTTCTTGAGCAGGGGGACCTTGCGGGCGGTGCAGGATTTCAGTCCTTCATGGCGTAGTGTGTTACCAATTGTTTTCTTGGTGACTATGGTCCCAGCTGCCTTGAGATCATTGACAGTTCTCCTGTGTAGTTCTGGGCTGATTCCTCACCGTTCTCATGATCATTGCAACTCCACGAGGTGTGGGGACGACGTCATCGATGCACTTATTGATGAAGCCAGTGATTGATGTGGTGTACTCCTCAATGCCTTCAGAAGAATCTCGGAACATATTCCAGTCTGTGCTAGTAAAACAGTCCTGTAGCTTAGCATCTGTGTCATCTGACCACTTCTTTATTGATCAAGTGACTGGTGCTTCCTGCTTTATTTTTTGCTTGTAAGCAGGAATCAGGAGGATAGATTTATGGTCAGATTTGCGAAATGGAGGGCGTAGGAGAGCTTTTTACGCGTCTCTTTGTGTGGAGTAAAGTTGATCTAGAGTTTGTTTTCCTCTGGTTGCATATTTAACATGCTGGTAGAAATTAGGTAGAACGGAATTAAGTTTACCTGCATTAAAGTCCCTGGCCACTAGGAGTGCTGCCTCTGGATGAGTGTTTTCCTGTTTGCTTATGGCCTTATACAGCTCATTGAGTGCGGTCTTAGTGCCAGCATCGGTTTGTGGTGGTAAATAGATATCTACAAAAAATATAAATAAATAGTGTGGTCTACAGCTTATCATGAGATACTCTACCTCAGGCGAGCAATACCTAGAGACTTCCTTAATATAAAATGTTGTGCACCAGCTGTTGTTTACAAATATACACAGACTGCCACCCCTTGTCTTACCGGAGGCCGTTGTTCTATCTTGCCGATGCAGCGTAAACCCCGCCAGCTGTATGTTATCCATGTCGTCGTTCAGCCACGACTCAGTGAAACATAAGATATTACAGTTTTTATGTCCCGTTAGTAGGATATTCGTGATCGTAGCTCGTCAATTTTGTTATCAAATGATTGTACGTTGGCTAATAGGACTGATGGAAGAGGCAGATTACCCACTCGTCGTCGGATCCTTACAAGGCACCCCGACCTACGTCCCCTACATCTCCGTATCTTTCTCCTGTGATTGACAGGGATTTGGGCCTTGTCGGGTGTCTGAAGTAAATCCTTCGCGTCCGACTCGTTGAAGAAAAAATATTTGTCCAGTACGAGGTGCGCAATCGCTGTCCTGATATCCAGAAGCTCTTTTCGGTCGTAAGAGACGGTGGCAGGAACATTATGTACAAAATAAGTTACAAATAACGCTAAAAAATACACATATTAGCACAATTGGTCACTATATTCACCCCCTCTTATTATTTTTCCTCAAGTCACAGTACATCAGGTGTTTGTTAATAGTTACTCAACTTGATGAATAACTCTAACAACAAAAACACTTATTTTGAATATGTGCTTTGTGTTGAGAAGATTCTACTGGAGGAACAACATGGAGATAGACCATTTATTTATGTACAATAGAGTACGTGTGTGTATGTGAGTGAATACTAAAGGAACTCCCTGCTCTTCCCCTCTCTCTAGATACTACCTGAAGAGCAACATGGAGACAGAGACCCTCTGTTCAGACGAGGACGCCCAGGACCTCCTTCGTGAAGGCCAGATCTCCCTCCTCCAGCTGTCCACTGTAGAAGTAGCCACGCAGCTCTCCATGCGCGCCTTCGAACTCTTCTGCGCCATCGAGCCCACTGAGTACATCGACGACCTGTTCAAGCTCAAGTCTAAGACGGGCTCGTTTTGCCTCAAGCGCTTCGAAGAGATCATCAACCAAGAGACTTTCTGGGTGGCATCGGAGGTGACCCGGGAGCCCAACCAGCTCAAGCGCATGAAGACGGTCAAGCATTTTATCAAGATAGCTCTCCATTGTAGAGAGTGCAAGAACTTCAACTCCATGTTCTCCATCATTAGGTGAGGTGGGAGAGGACGAGGACAAGAGGACACCCGGCAGCCATGTTGTATTGTTGTGATGTAGATTGGTTAAACCGATTTGGAAGAGTTTTACACCAAATCCAGCAATTAGGCATGCAGGCTTTCACTCCAAACATAATCTGGCACACCTGATTCTACTGAACAGCTGCCCACTGAAATTCAATTAGCTGAATCAGGTGTAGAGTTGGAACAAAAGCCTGGAACCAGAGTTTGCCCCCTTCTCTACAGTATCAGTATTCTAACTTAACTGTCTTTCTGTCGTCCTCCCCCCAACAGTGGTCTGAACCTGGCCCCAGTATCTAGACTTCGGGGCACGTGGGAGAAGCTGCCCAGTAAGTACGAGAAGCTGTTTGGGGACCTGCAAGAACTGTTTGATCCATCCAGGAACATGGCCAAGTACCGCAACGTGCTCAACAACCAGAACCTCCAGCCACCCATCATCCCCCTGTTCCCCGTCATCAAGAAGGACCTCACCTTCCTGCACGAAGGTAGGCAGCCACACACCTAGTCATTTTGGATCACAAAATGTGTTCAAAACATTCATCTTGGAACCCAGAATGAAATCCGTCTCACTCCAGCTATTTTGGAACTTTTCGTGTTGAAAAACAATATCCCACGTATAAATACAGTAATGTACACACACTGAAGGGTAAAAAATTTATAGAATTTTTTTGGTGGGCAACTGCAAACTTCATGTAGTAGGCCATTCAAGGAGCTGGTCTGATGGTGCCCTCTGTCATTGGCCTCCCCCCTTACTTGAGGAGCAAAAAAGAACAAAAGAGGCAACCGCTCCCCTTCCCTTTCCACTATGTCGCCTATTCCCCCTCAGGAGAAAAGATTTTGCATGGGTCCTCAGATCCTCAAAAATGTCTACAGCTGCACCATTGAGAGCATCCTGACTGGTTGTATCACTGCCTGGTATGGAAACTGCTTGGCATCCGACCGCAAGGCGGTACAGAGGGTAGTGTGTATGGATGGCCCAGTACCTCACTGGGGCCAAGCTTCCTGCCATCCAGGACCTCTATACCAGGTGGTGCCAGAGGAAGGCCCTAAAAATGGTCAAAGACTCCAGCCACCCTAGTCATAGACTGTTCTATCTGCTACTGCATGGCAAGCAGTACCGGAGTGCCAAGTCTAGGTCCAAAAGGCTCCTTAACAGCTTCTACCCCTAAGCCATAAGACTGCTGAACAGTTAATGAAATGGCTCGCCCCCCCCCCCGCTACTCTGTTTATTATCTATGCATAGTCACTTTATCCCAACCTACATGTACATATTACCTTGACTAACCTGTACCCCCACACATTAACACATTACCCCCTGTATATAGCCTCATTATTGTTATTTTATTGTGTTACTTTTTTAAACTTTAATTTATTTAGTAAATATTTTCTTAACTCTTATTTTTCTTAAAACTGCATTGTTGGTTAAGGGCTTGTAAGTAAGCATTTCATGGTAAAGTCTACACCTGTTGTATTCGGCGCATGTGACAAATTAAATTTGGCTGGGTCTCCCATTTTTTTATACAATGTTGCACTAAATTAGATTGTATGCCAATATTGCACTAATATTGTACTATAAGGCATCTTAATCAATCTGTTATAACTAATAGTCTCTCTTGTCTTTCCCCAGGCAACGACTCTAAAGTGGATGGCCTGGTGAACTTTGAGAAGCTGCGGATGATCGCCAAAGAGATCCGCCACGTGGGTCGAATGGCCTCCGTCAACATGGACCCAGCGCTCATGTTCAGAACCAGGTAACATCGGGAAAAACGCGGAAATCCAATATTCCCAGAAGACTAACAACACTTCACCATCCCCTTTAGGTCCAATCAAATCACTGTAGATTGTCGATGATTGATTGTTCACATGTAGATTTTCGATATTACCTGCATCCACGCTTTTCTCTTGAGCAACCGTTTCTCCAGGCAACCCAGCTGTTTCCTGTACTGTCTACTTATTGTTAGCGTAGAAACCACACGGTGCTCATGTGAAACCACACGGTGCTCATGTGAAACCACACGGTGCTCATGTGAAACCACACGGTGCTCATGTGAAACCACACGGTGCTCATGTCAAACCACACGGTGCTCATGTCAAACCACACGGTGCTCATGTCAAACCACACGGTGCTCATGTCAAACCACACGGTGCTCATGTCAAACCACACGGTGCTCATGTGAAACCACACAGTGATCATGTGAAAGTGTGTGTGTGACTTTGCATGTCCACCATGCTGCCATGTGACTTTTGGGTGTCTGTGGTTGTTATCAGTGTTTGTCTCTCTTTCTCTCTATTGTGGGCCTCTGGTAACCTTGCTCATCTTGGTGTCTCTTAGTGGTCTATCCTGTCTAAGCTTGTCTCCCTCTTTCTTTCTCTCTCTTTCCCTCTCTCCGTCCACTCTTTGCCCTCCACGCTTCACTGTTCATGGCTATCCCTTCTAGGAAGAAGAAATGGAGGAGTTTAGGGTAAGTTTTGGTGACCTACGATTTTTCCATGCTTTTTTATTCTGCCCAATTTGTGCTCTCTCTCTCTCTCCCTCATTTCTGACGCCTCGTTTGTTTGGTTTAATGCTGATTTGACTAACCACTTATTTAGTGCTGATTTGACTAACCTGTTATTTAGTGCTGATTTGACTAACCCGTTTGGTTTGATACCCTTCTAACACTGCTTGGCTCTGGTAAAACTTTCTTTAGAAAAGGAAATGAACATGACTTTTGCTAGTTTGAAGTCACACTTTTTTTATGCCCAAAATATTTTGCAATGACTCATTAAAACTGATAGAGCGATTTGCATCCCATTCAATTCATAATGCAATTCACAATCCATGAACTAGCAAAAGTGATTACTTTGTGTCTTCCCATCTACTTACCAAAAACAGCATGCCAACTTCCATCTTGTTTTCAGTTCTATCAGTTTGTCATGGTGTGGATTTATTCTGTGTATCAGCCTCCAGACTAAGAATATCTTCTTCAACATGAAAGTCTATAGTGTGCTACAATTACAGCCAAACTCGTCATGCTTTACATTAGAGTTTGACAAATTCTGTTTTTGCCCTTGCACTACACAGCTGATTCAAATAACCAACTCATCATCAAAGTTTGGTTATTTGAAAGCTGTGTAGTGCTAGGTTAAAACCCAAAACGTGCACCCAGGGGGGGCCCCAGGACCGAGTTTGGGAACCCCTGGTCTACATCAGTGGCCAAGGAGGTAGTATACAGAACAGTCATTGTGTTGAATTCCACCACACTATACATGTACTCTGGATGTACCATAGGTTCTTATGAAAAGGCGTTTCACTACAGCTACCTTGGTTTTAGACCACAGAAATGTTAACTATGACTATCTATCACTATTTGAACCCCCAACAAACACACATCCCCTGTTTCCTGACTGATTGACCCCCTGGCCCTATTCCCTCCCCTTCTTCCTTGGAATGCATGGAATGTTCTGGAGCTGAGAGGAATGCCCCCAAAGCCTCAGTCTCTGCATGTCTGCCACTCAAACGATCCTCCTCTCAACTACCTTCTAGGAATAGTACCCACACACACAGTTACCTAGATAGTAGTACACACACAGTTACCTAGATAGTAGTACACACACAGTTACCTAGATAGTAGTACACACACAGTTACCTAGATAGTAGTACACACACAGTTACCTAGATAGTAGTACACACACAGTTACCTAGATAGTAGTACACACACAGTTACCTAGATAGTAGTACACACACAGTTACCTAGATAGTAGTACACACACAGTTACCTAGATAGTAGTACACACACAGTTACCTAGATAGTAGTACACACACAGTTACCTAGATAGTAGTACACACGCAGTTACCTAGATAGTAGTATACACACAGTTACCTAGATAGTAGTACACACGCAGTTACCTAGATAGTAGTATACACACAGTTACCTAGATAGTAGTACACACACGGTCATAGTCTGATGGTGGTCTCTCTCTCCCCTCTGTGTGTGTGTGTGTGTGTGTGTGTGTGTGTGTGTGTGTGTGTGTGTGTGTGTGTGTGTGTGTGTGTGTGTGTGTGTGTGTGTGTGTGTGTGTGCACGTGTGACCAGTTCTCTTAGCCAGGGCAGTGCCAACGCGGCGGTGCTAGACGTCACCCAGACGGGCGGGCACAAGAAGCGGGTGAGGCGGAGCTCCTTCCTGAATGCCAAGAAGCTGTACGAGGATGCCCAGATGGCCCGCAGGGTCAAGCAGTTCCTGTCCAACCTCAGCCTGGAAACCAACGAGGAGGCGCTGCAGACCCTCTCGCTGCAGTGTGAGCCCTCCATCAACACACGTAAGTGGTGGAGAGAGTACATGCTGTGGACAACACACACTTGCTTGTGTTCTGTCTCACACTTAGTGCGGGCTAGAATAGGGTACATGCATGCTGTGTACACACACACACACTTGCGATCTCTAACTGCAATATGAGCCCTCCATCAACACGTGATTGATGCACACATGAATGCTGTTGGTACAAACACAAATTGTCCAGGTGGCCATTTTGGCTCAGCAGCAACACTCGGTTTCTCACTGGTAGTATTGATTGTTAACGTACCACATTCTCCTTCAACCATTTCTCAGTGCCCAAGAATGCTGGTGGCAGTAAGAGGCCAGACACGTCTCCGGTGGTGTCCAGGGCTGCCAGCCAGCAGAGGGGCCAGCTGCAGAAGGGAAACCAGGCCCTTCAGGTGCCCGCCGTGGCCCTCTACCCCTCCCGCAAGAAAGTACCCGTCAAGGACCTGCCACCATTCGGTAAGAACAAGTTAAGGGGGAAAATATACTTGATGCATATATGCACGTTTTAGAACATTGTTTCTTTCCGACATTCGCTTTCAGGAAAACACATTAATTTCAGTTTCAGGTAAAATGTACCTCATCACAATGTTGCTTCTATTGTGGCATTACACTAGCTTAGACACTATGAGCAGGTTTCCCAAAGACCCGGATAAAGTTTATTCCTGAACTAAAACACACTGTCAATGGATATTCTAAGGATTAATCTGCATCTGGGAAACCTGCCTTTGCTGAAGTTTTTATCCTACTCCAAACATGGGTTAGGTTGAGGGTTAAAGCTGGAATCCTTAATGTGATATTATAACAACAAAGAAGTTACTGTAAACAACTAACAGTTTTTTCCCCTCAGACATTATTGCACGCGTGGTAGAAGAACACAATATGTACTGCATTAATTTTTTACCATGCTGCACGACGCTCCTCAGTTCAACAACAAAAATGATAACAACGGTGATGGGGCGGCCAGCGGTGGTGGGGTGGGGTGGCTACTGTGGATTCCATCTTTAAGTGTAGCTCAGAGGGGATTAAAGTACACTGTGGGAAGTGGGAACTATTTCTTGGAAGAACCTCCAGTGGAGGGAGACATTAGCTCATGTAGCTGTGCTTCACTGTGTTGATACAGTAGTATCCACTCTGCCAAGTTTGCTTTGCTCCATCTGTTTAAATTCTCAGACAATAGATAAAACCTCTGTAGTACTACCTCTCCTTTGACTGTGATTTGAGCACCACCTAGAGGCCGTATGGCCAAGTGAGGATTAAAAACTCACCAGACAATGTAGGCTATGGCTACGTTTAAAACCCCACCATTGACGTTCTCTCCACAACGCTAAATTTGGCTATGGTTTTGTTTTGAAGGCACAAGTTCCCCTCAGTCGTTGAAGAAGATCCTGTCACTGTCGGAGGAGGCCAGCGAGCGTCACAAGCGTCAGACGGAGGACACAGTATCCAGCACCTCCTCGCAGCTCTCCTCCCCACCCACCTCCCCACAGAGCTCGCCCAAGAAGGGTAAACTAAATAATCCCATCAGTCCAACCTCAGCCTATAGACAAGGGGAGAAGGGCTATGTAAAGGGCTCCCTTTTGTCGTTCTGAGCCTAGACCACCTAGTCTACACTGTTCCATATTGGAATCAGCTATCAATCACCCCTACCTACCTCCCATCCCAACTACCTCACTCCTTACATACTGTGATGCTGTCCTGTGTCCTATCTGTGTGTGATGTCTCTTTGCCTTGCCGCACGCAGGGCTCAGGACACTGAAGGGCCAAAGTTTCCGGAAGGTTACCTTGACCAGTAAACAGACAGCCACAGGTAAACTGGGACTGCCCCAGACCGGCCCTAGACCTAGATGCTGCTGGCCTAAAACACATTTTGGGGTGCCCCTAATGATGCCCCCCTAAACATGCAGGGTATTTGTTGTTCAATTCCAACCAAGTCTTAACTGATGATGACTAATATTACATTATTGATTAAGTAACAAATCAGGGTCACGTTCATTAGGCAACAAATGGAGTAAAACAGATTGATACAGATAGGAACTACCTAGACCTGTCCAATAAGAAAAGAAGGCCCGGAAAATCGTCAAAGACCCCAACCACCCAAGCCATAGACTATTTTCTCTGCTGCCGCATGGCAAGAGGTACCGGTGCATCAAGTCTGACACCAACAGGCTCTTGAACAGCTTCTGTCCCCATGCAATACAACTGATAAATAGCTAACAAAATGGCTACATGGACTGTGTTTACCTTGTATCTTTATTTACCTTTTATTTCAGTATTTGCACTGTCTTTATGTACACTCACAGGGCCCTACACACTCACACAGACTGTCACTCCAACACACACAAACACTCCATCATTTGCTCACTCACACATAACATGGACATACAGTACCAGTCAAAAGTTTGGACACACCTACTCATTCCAGGGTTTTTCTTTGTTTTTTTCAATATTTTCTACATTGTAGAATAATAGTGAAGACATCAAAACTATGAAATAACACATATGGAATCATGTAGTAACCCAAAAAGTGTAAAAATAAAGAAAAGCCCTGGAATTAGTAGGTGTCCAAACTTTTGACTGGTACTGTATATTTATACTGACTCACTCACATACGAGCTGCTGCTACTACTCTGTTTATCTGTTGGCTACTCCCCTTATCCCTATACATATCTACCTCCATCACTCCAGTATCCCTGCACATGTAAATATGGTATTGGAACTGACTTTTTAGATATTTCCTGTATATAGTATGCTTGCTTACTTTGTGTAGTTCATATTTCTTATTCCTCGTGTGCTTTTTTCTAGTAATACATTGTTATTGATTATTGCATTGTTGGGTTTCACTGTACTTGTGCGTGTGACATTGAAACTTGAAACTAAGAAACTCATTTTCATTTTCCATTGCAAAATGTTTTTAAATGTTTTACGTTGCATGCCCTAATGAACACGACCCAGTTGGATCTTACGAAGACGAAGTGGTTGGACCTGTATACAGTGCATTCGGAAAGTATTCAGACCCCTTTACTTTTTCCACATTTTGTTACGTTACAGCCTTATTCTAAAATGAATTAAGAAAAAAAAATCCTCATCAATCTACACACAATACCCCATAATGACAAAGCAGAAACTGGTTTTTAGAAATGTTTTCAATTTAAAAACTGAAATAGCTTATTTACATAAGTATTCAGACCCTTTGCTATGAGACTCGAAATTGAGCTCAGGTGCATCCTGTTTCCATTGATCATCCTTGAGTTGTTGCTACAACTTGATTGGAGTCCACCTGTGGTAAATTCAATTGATTGGACATGATTTGGAAAGGCACACACATGTCTATATATGGTTCCACATTTGACAGTGCATGTCAGAGCAAAACCAAGCCATGAGGTCGAAGGAATTGTCCGTAGAGCTCCGGGACATGATTGTGTCGAGGCACAGCTCTGGGGAAGGGAGGTGATCAAGAACCTGATGGTCACTCTGACAGAGCTCCATCTGTGGAGATGGGAGAACCTTCCAGAAGGACAACAATCTCTGCAGCACTCTACCAATCAGGCCTTTAAGGTAGATTGGCCAGACGAAACGACTCCTCAGTAAAAGGCACATGACAGCCCACTTGGAGTTTGCCAAAAGGCACCTAAAGTACTCTTAGACCATGAGAAACAAGATTCTCTGGTCTGACAAAAACCAAGGTTGAACTCATTAGCCTGAATGGGAAGCGTCACGTCTGGAGGAAACCAGGCACCATCCCTACGGTGAAGCATGTTGGTGGCAGCATCATGTTGTGGGGATGTTTTTCAGTGGCAGGGCCTGGGAGACTAGTTAGGATTGAGGGAAAGATTAACAGAGTAAAATACAGAAAGATCCTTGATGAAAACCTGCTCCAGAGTGCTCAGGACCTCAACCTGGGGCGAAGGTTCACCTTCTGACAGGACAACAACCCTAAGCACACAGCCAAGACAACGCAGGAGTGACAAATCTCTGAATGTCCTAGAGTGGCCCAGCCAGAGCCCGGACTTGAACATGATCGAACATCTCTGGAGAGACCTGAAAATATCTGTGCAGCAACGCTCCACATCCAACCTGACAGAGCTTGAGAGGATCTGCAGAACAGGTTTTCCAAGCTTGTTGCATCATACCCAAGAAGACTTGAGGCTGTAATCGCTGCCAAAGGTGCTTCAACAAAGTACTGAGTAAAGGGTGTGAATACTTATGTAAATGTTATTTCAGTTTTATTTTATTTATTTGTTCCTAAAATGTCTAAAAACCTGTTTTTACTTTGTCATTATGGGGTATTGTGTGTAGATTGATGAGGAAAAAAACAATTTAATCAATTTTAGAATAAGGTTGTAACGTAACAAAATGTGGAAAAAGTCAAGGGGTCTGAATACTTTCCGAATGCACTGTATATACTGAACAAAAAAAAACCCGCAACATGCAATAATGTCATTGATTTTACTGAGTTACAGTTCATATGAGGAGATCAGTCATTTGAAATAAATAAATTAGGCCCTAATCTATGGATGTCACATGACTGGGAATACAAATATGCATCTGTTGGTCACAGATACCTTTTAAAAAATGGGCCTCACAATGGGCCTCAGGATCTCATCACAGTATTTTTGTGCATTCAAATTGCCATTGATAAAATGCAACTGTGTTTGTTGTCCGTAGTTTATGCCTGCCCATACCATAACCCCACCGCCACCATAGGGCACTCTCTTCTCAACGCTGACATCAGCAAACCGCTCGCCCACACAACGCCAACATGGTCTGCAGTTGAGGCAGGTTGGACATACAGACAAATTCTCGGAAACAATGTTGGAGGTGGCTTATGGTAGAGAAATTAACATTAAATGATCTGGCAACAGCTCTGGTGGACATTCCTGCAGTCAGCATGCCAATTTGCACACTCCCTCAAAACTTGAGACATCTGTGGCATTGTGTTATGTGACAAAACTGCACATTTTAGAGTGGCCTTTTATTGTCCCCAGCACAAGGTGCACCTGTGTAATGATCATGTTGTTAAATCAGCTTCTTGATATGCCACACCTGTCAGGTGGATGGATTATCTTTCAAAGGAGAAATGCTCTCTTGTGCACAAAATTTTAGAGAAAAATAAATAAATTCTGTGATCTTTTATTTCAGCTCATGAAACATGGGACCAACACTTAACATTTTGCATTTATATTTTTGTTCAGTGTATATAGGGGGTCCTGAGGGCTTGTGTCTGTCGCCCCACTTGTCTTAGTAGCGGAGCTGCTGCTGTGATGTCTAGTAGTATGACAGTCGCTTCAGAAGATAGATGGGCTCAGATGCTCCTGCTTCACCGACATCCACTACTCCGCTTGATTCATGTCCGTGTGTTTAGAAGCCAGTAGAAGCCCTTCGGTCCACCGGGGAAAAACTAATTCCTTTCATTATTGGAATGGGTTTCAGGAACTGACTTGATGCTAGGCCATCTGACTTGGAAGAGCAGTCCTCCATTTTCTGAGTGGTAGCTCGCGGTTGGTTTGCCAATGATTTAATGTCACAGAAGACTCCATTTACGATGACTTGTTAGATGTTAGAATGTTAGAGAGCAGAGTAATTTGATGAGATTTCTGGCTTTGAGATGTGAGTCCAAGCTAAAGGTGTGAGGATCTTCATTTTTTGAATTGGATTGCTGCCCCAAGCACGTTCTGAGTTTTGTTGTAAGGTTGCTGTGTATTTCCCCTAACCTTTTATTAGGCTGATTAGGTGATTCTAGGTGGTTGTAGGCTTGTGTAGTGGCTTCTTTGAATCTTATTTTTCTCATTTACTAGTAGGTCACAGTATGACCGTGTTAAAGCTGTAAGTTATCTGGTGTGACGGTAGTGATTTGAGAGGTTAGAGGTTTTGTTTTCGAGGTGCAGGTAGAAAGAGAAGTTTCTCTAGGCCTATGTGTTCTCTTATCCAGCCTGCTGTAAAATCCATGTTAGGAGGTTCTGAACGATGCAACCCCCTGAACACAACCCCTGGACTAGTAGATTGGAATAATTTAGCACTTTGTGACAGCTGCTGATGTGAAAAGGGTTTAATAATGATTGATCAGTCAGTTAATGTCCCAACCCCCTACTCTCTCCAGGCTACCCCAGAACAGGAGACACCTACTCAGACTCAGGTCACAGCGAGATCTCGTCACGCTCCAGCCTGGTCAGCAACTCCTCCTTCGACATGGCCCAGGAGGAGAGGAGGGGTCTCAGGCACTCCGGAGGTGTTGGAGACCCCCACGCTGGAGGGGTGCGTCTGGAGAGGAGGGCTACGACAGACCCGGACCAGTACAGCCTCAGGTATGAACCAACACTGCCTATTTCTAATGACCATCATCCCAAAAACGTTGTTTAAAGGGATAGTTTACCCAAGTTCTAAAATTGTTAAGTGGTGTTTAACTTGAAAATGTAGTACTTGGTACACATCCTATTTTAAAAGCTAATTACAGTGATGAGCTTTAAATGAGCTTCAAAAATTGAAAAAGAAATAGTTCCAATCCCAACCCTTTATTTTTCCACTTGAGTGGAAAACCCATTGCAAAGGTATAGCTTGTCTCTAATCTCTAACCCTCTGACCCCCCCCCCCCCCCACAAACAGTTCCTACTCATCCATGCAGGACTGCCGGGGCCTGTATACCTGTGCTACGGTTGTCTCTCCCAGCTCTGAGGAGCTGACCCAGGACCAAGGAGACCGTGTCTCCCTGGACGCCGCCGACAGTGGTCGCGGCTCCTGGACTTCGTGCTCCTCGGGCTCCCATGACAACATCCAGACCATGCAGCAGGGACGCAGCTGGGAGGCCTTCGGACCTGGCGGTGTGGTCAGCGTGGGTGTCCACCCTCCCGGGGGGCCTGAAGCGTTACTAGGGGGCCCCTCTGGACTGTGGGTGTCTCAGGCTAGAGGGAGCTGGGCATCGGCCTCTTCTTCATCTTCCTCTGCGGCGTACTGGGGCGAGGACTCAGAGGGTGACACGGGCACGATTAAACGGCGAGGCGGGAAGGACGTGAACGCTGACCCGGAGACGAGTAGTATCACGTCCATGGGGTCTGACGAGGCCAAGCAGCACGGGAGGCCATCGCCGTCACCCATCACCGCCGGCAATAAGGGTCTTATCAGTGAGTTGACGTCTGAAAATGTTGTTTGTCTGTTGTGTTGATGGAAGGGTTTAGCTGTCCTCATAGGCTAATGTTATAGTGTCCATACCTGTTCCTAATGTTATGGTGTCCATACCTGTTCCTAATGTTATGGTGTCCATACCTGTTCCTAATGTTATGGTGTCCATACCTGTTCCTCAACAAATAAACAGGGTCCTGGTGAAAGGTCGGATTTGAGAATGTTCTGAAAATGCCAAACCCTGCTCACATGCGTATTCATTTTTGCATTCATGCTTTTTACGATTTGCGTACATCCTTGGAGAGAAGTGCATGTCAGCTGAATTATGTCCGCATGTAGATCTCCATGCCAACACTTTTTCTGGATGAAGTGTGTGGCGCAGATGCGTAAAGTATTAATTGCATTTTACCCCACCATCTTTCACCCCCCTTAGCACGAAAGGAGAGCCGTTACCGCGAGCCCCCTCCCACCCCGCCGGGCTACACCGCCCTGACAATCTCTGACTTCAGTGAGGGCCAGACGCAGTCGCCACCCCCGCCCACGGCCCCGTCCCACTCTGGCCGCCGCCCGCCCGACTACACCACGGCCCTGCAGCGCTCGCGCATGGTCACCCAGTCGCCTGACTCCCAGCACCACCACCAGGTCCAACAACACCCAGGTTCCGGAACCACAAAGCGCCATGGGCTCCACCGCACCCACTCGCCAGGCGAGGACGAAGAGCCAGAGGAGGAAGAGGAGGGTGAGTCCTTGTCTCCCAAACTAGTCGCTCTGAGGAAGACAGTGGCACACACAACACCAGAGACAACCAGGCCCTGAGATGAGTGTACGGGTTAAAGGGCAGCCCCCCCCCCCCTCCCCTACCCCCCCTCCCCAGGCTGAGGTAAATGACTGATTTATACCAACGATAACCTGCATGCCCACCAGGAACAACACGGACTACCCTCATATCCACCGCAAACCTAGCCTGGTCCCAGATCTGTTTGTACTGTCTTGCCAACTCCTATGGGGAATGGGCATTGAGGAGATGTCAAGACCGAACAAACCGATCTGGGACCAGGCTAGCACAAACCCACCACGGCATCTCATGTGCATGAAGTCCTCATGCTTGGACCAAAGCTCATCAGGCGTTAGCGCCTCACCCTCTGTGTCGAATGGCATTCATCTGGGGGCACAAGTTGTTACTGTAGGTTTGCTCACCCATTTAAAAAAACAAAACAAATTGTGACTATGCTTGCACACATGCTCCTCCATCCCCAGCAGTGTTTTTCTCACTTTTAACATTGTTTGTCGTTAATAGGCATATTGTTCAGTTTTGATAGTAAATCATGGTATGGTAAGTTCACATAGAGGCCAGTTAATGATGTTGTGGGGGCTTTCTGCCTCTAATTCTTTCACAGGGTTTTACCATCTTGGTAACCAACATTGCTATTTTTTTTCTTTCTCTCTTCAGAGGATGAACAGGTATCAGCAGTCTGAGAGAGAACGGTCTTCTGCTGGATGACTTTAAGTCGCTTCCATGGAGCCAGATCAAAAGACACTGACTGATTGATGGACAGACAAACCAATCCAGTACGTGCCTGCCTCCTCCGTCGGACTCTCCCTCCTGATTGGTGGACTCCTTTGTTCATCTCCCCCTCCCCTGCCTTAAAGCGTTATGGGGGGTTGAATAACCTGCTTGAAAAAATACTGTGAAGAAGAAGGAGAGATGGAAAAAGAAAGACATGCCTGGAAAAAAGAAAAATAAGTCTAACTGTTTTGCTGGAAAAACACACGGCGATGCGTGACAACAACGCTCACACAAACACACAGCTGTCCTGGAACAGCTTTTCAAGACTATTATCACCGTATCCCAACCCCACTTCGCTTTACACACAGAATCATGACGTGTTGAGCTTTGTCTGCACTTTTTCTTTTTCTACTTAATAAAACGTGAACAAACCGGACAATGTTTTTTTTTTTTTTTTTTAAGAACATTTGATCAATTTTGAACTCTTAAGGATTTTCAAATTCCTTCTAGTTTTTTGGGGGTATTCTTTCCAGAACTATTGCACTCTGGGGGTAAAAGAGACTATACCCAAGTCTCATATCTCTGGACTCGGAATAACAAATCTGTAAAAATAGTGTTTTATTCCACAATTACAGTATTATCTGGTCATTCACATATTAGACATGACCTAGTGGTGTCTCCACCCCACTGCTAACTGGACAGTCACAATGAGATAAATCAGTTGGGGTAACCAACATGTCATTTGGGAACCCATCATGTCATTTGGGGTAACCATCATGTCATTTGGGGTAACCATCATGGCATTTGGGGTAACCATCATGGCATTTGGTGTGACCAACATGCACCTTCATAATCTAATGTACTGACACACTGGCAGTTTGGCTTCAGCACTTTTCAGTACAACATTAGGTTTTAGTACAACCCTGGCCTGGATATCGGTGTCTTTCCGATACGGCCACATCTTCAGTTCTAGGTCATATACAGTAATGTGCAGGTTTAAAGGTGTGGAGCGTAGCAGTGGCCAAAGTAAAGAGGCAACAGCCGAACCTACCTGGCAGGCCGGTCGGTCCCATCTCCGATTGTAAAACCTCTTCTATTTTTAGTCATAGATATGGCTGCCTATAGTTGTTTAGCTAACTTATCTAGCTAGACTAGGCTAGCTAGCTAGCCTAACCTACCTAAGTTAGCGATTTTTCCCCCCCACTGTAACACAGTAATATGTTAGTCAGCAATACACAATATGGGTTTCAGTAGATAAACTAAAGTTAGCTAGCTAGCTAGGTGGCTTACTTACTTAGCTAGCCACCGTATTTGTCATCTGCCCACTTGTTGCTGGCATCGGCTGTAGCTGAGCTTCTAGCTAAATCCAACTCTTTGTTTTGAATCCTCTTCGCTGTATTCCGGTTGAAACAGGTATGGTTGAATGTCACCATGTAGCTAAAGAAAATGCTCCATCTTCGAATTCGTGTTGATGAGAGGAATCACTTGAAGCCATTGTAGTCTGGTCAGTTCTTTCAGTTTTGCCCAAAGGATTGTGTTGTTAGTGTCCGTCTCCCTTTCAAAAAAGCCTGCCTTGGGGGAGGGACGGGGCCAGAACCCGAAGCACCGACCCCACACAAGTTGTAGTCTTTCGGAGACTGGAACATTTTCAGCTTGTATATTTAGCAATGAATCCGCTAATAGGAACATCCAGGTTTTAACCTGGAAGGTCACCTGGTGTCTTATATTCATTCTATATTTAGACAGTATTGTTTTGGACAACTACAGGATATTTATATTGGCTTAGTCTTCTCCCTAATGGGTTGTGATGTTGAAAGAGACGCGTTTTAGTTATGCACCCCAAAGGCAGAACAGGGCTTGAATCCTATACAGGTGAATGGAGTCTCAGGTCTTTCAGTGGTGCTGCATAGACAAACTCTTTCCCTGGGTTCTGTCAAACATTTAAAGGGGCAATCTGCTGCGGCTACCTCCATTTTTGGACTTATAAATTAATAATATATACCTATTGATTCTTGAAGAATATAACTTATAAATGCCTCAGCTTAGTTCAACTGTCAAACCCCATCATACCCCAAAATAGAATCTTGTTTTACTTCAATGTTTGTAATTGTAAACATACATTGTATAGCCTCAAAAACATGCTTAAAACTAACAGTCCTTGCATCCATAGCTCCGTCTATGAATTTGAGAGCCGTTACATTTCTCCAGGCCCACCCCTCAGCTTTTTACCAAAACAGAGGTGGGGCGAACAATTTATTGTTTCAACTAAGGATTGCCCTTTAAGACTGAACTAGAATACACGAGAATGAACTAAAATACACCTTCTCTCCAAACTTGCTGTTGGATACATCCCTTCCTCTTCATTGCAAAGCCAGTTGGAGAAGTCCTCCACTGTTACAGGCATCAAGATCAGTGGATGTGTATATGACTAGGCAATGCTAGCGTAGAACAACCTGTTTTCCACCATTTCTCAACATCATTGGAATTGACTGAAGAAAATTATTTAATATGTTTATTGTTTTTTGACTCCGGTGGGGAACTTACCTAGATGAAATAATTAACTTTGAAGGCTGCTAATCAGAATTATTAGTACTCAAATTGTGAAAGTGTCACTTTGACTTGTTTCTTTTATCACTGAGTTGTGCTGATCACATTGATCAGTAGTTAGAAACCATAGACTGAGAAGTAGAAATATACGAGTGCAGTGTTTTTCACTGTGGTCTGTCACTACACTATAATCATTTGTCAGGTCTTTTGTTAATGTTTTTTTTTTTAATGCCTGCCGATAGATTGTCTAATGCGTTTGTAATTCAGTGGTGACATGCATCATCATCATTCACTTTCCTTCAACTCTTTAGCAGGCCAAGTCCTATTACGAAAAACTAAACGTTGCACAACAATGTACAAGCATAAAGATAATTGTAGTGGTAGAACTGCTACTCGGTTTGATGTGATGTCAATTCAGAAGTGTATATTTAACTGGTGATGATTTCTCATACTTTCTTGTACTACTTTGACCTGTATGTCTTTTAAAAAGACAATTGGTGGAGTAAGTATCGGTTGTTTTTTTGTATTTTTAATACAATATTTGTAAATATTGGTTATATTTTTGTTGAAATGTACTGTTTATGCCTCAACATCCAGTTTGTATGAAGCTGGGAAATCAATAAATACTACAAAAGTTATCAACTCATAGGTTTAAATGCATTAATTTTTTTCCTGCATTTGGAGGTTTCTTCTTTAGAATATTGTTCCTTTCCAAGACCTCTCCTACATACCATCTAGTGTTTGCACAAGATAAGACATGGAAGTAGCTTGAACTGTGTAACCCTCATACTTTTCTAATTGACAGCAGTGTACGTCAGAATTAATAAAAATATAAGTCTCCACTTGTTTCTTTTTTAACTTTTGTCATTTTTGTTTGGAATAATAATGACTAAAATGTGATACATGCAATGTAAGGTATAGATAACCATGTTTTCTACCAGAGGAGAGAATGTGTTTTATGTTCACTGATCATATTTCTTTCCAAAATAATTTCTAAAACGCCTTCAACTTTTAATAACTAAAACTGTTCAAGGACATTGACTGGAGCCTGCCCTCTAACAATTTAATATGTGCAAGGCTTCTTGAAACCCCCTTGTTTCTTTGAATTAGAGTACATTCAGACCCTGCATTAGACATTGGTTAAATGCTATCCACTGTGAATGAGGAAACTATTTATTCAAATCCCTTCACATAAATAGCTGATTTTAATTTATTTCAGTCATACATCAATGATAAGTTTTTAGGCTGCAGTGAGAGCCAAGTAGATAGCCTCCCAAGTCTCTGGTGTACAAGGTGATCCAGTGTCCAGGTCTGGTTACGTAGGTCTCCATTTAAGATAGCACGTGATTATCTGTCCACACTGTCTCTTGGGGTAGGCCCACTCTCAATCCCTCTTTAAAACTCTTTACCTTGGGGACTGGACCAGAAACCGGTAGGACCAGGGAAGAACAGCACCAGGGCAGAAGAGATCCAGAAGCAGCTATGAAGTATGATTTGACTTCAGACAGCCAAAGTCTAAATGGAAGGGCTCAGAGCCCCTCATGCAGTGGAATGGAAGGCTCCAACATGCCCATCCTTCCTCCCTGTGTGACCTAAGTGTAGGCAATGCAGCCACTAAGAGTGAAAAAAGCTCACAACACGGGACGGCCAGGTAGGAAGGTCAGGTAGGTAGATACAATAGATCTACGATTGTAAAACCTCTTCTATTTTTTTTGCCATAGATTAGCTGTCGTTGTTTAGCTAATTTAGCTAGCTAGGCTAG